ACAGTGGACCCTAGCTAAGTATCACAATGGTCCCATGAGGTTATGTCAGCACCCCATAGCCATCTTAGTTTAGGTAAACACACTCTAATATTCTTACCATGATGAAATTGCCTACTGAGGTGTTTCTCTGATTGCGTCTTGGAATTAAGCAATGCATGACTGTGTATCTTCAGCTACACAAAATTATAAAATCTGCCTTAAGAGCATTTCTACTTTCTGCTGTCCTGTTGGTTTTATGTTACCTTGTATACTACCTGAAATTCTTTGAGAAGCAGACTGAGCAGTAGAGGCACAGGCACATGTGTGAGCCTGAGCATAAGCCCTGCATATGTCCACATGTGCTCTTTTGCCCAGGATCCCTGTCCACTCACCGTGTTTGAGAGTCTCGATACAGTACTATTCACTGTGATTACAGCCTTACAGCCAACAAACACGTGGAAAACACCAAGATAAGATAGCCAGGAAATGAAAGCCTTTAAAAAAGAAGAAAAAAAAAATTTGTAATTGTAGATGGACAGTATACCTTTACTTTATTTATTTACTTTTATATGGTGCTATGGATCAAACCCAGTACCTTACACCTGCTAGGCAAGTGTTCTGCCACTGAGCACAGCTCCAGCCCATGAAAGCTTTTGACATGCTCTAAAGTGTACAAAAAAAGAAACCAAGTAGCAGATCACCGTGTAACTACATGGATGACAGCTAGCTAAATATTCAGGAAGCAGGGAAGCACATTTTCAGTGGAAAAATTAGGTAGGAGCTAATGATCCGTAGAGGCCTTTATTCTCTAAATTTGCTAAAGTTCATGGTAAAAAGAAAAAACGACGGTAGATGTTCTTCATCCTTTTGCTCCAGGTCTTCTTGGAAAGGAGGGAATGAGACCCTCTTTATTCCTCTTTGCAAGATTGTTTTCAACATCCTAGACAGGAGGATGTTTGTTCTATTAAGAAAACCCCTCTGGGCACAGAAATTCAATCTCTTTCTTAGTAACTAGTTTATTGGACAATCTGGAAATTCTTCTATCTGATATGATTCCTTTCTATAGCAGTTTAGTTTTCTTAACTCATTTTTATTGACTATAATATACATATAATAAAAGCATCAACATAAGTGTACAATTTACAAATTTTTATAAATGTACATAACTGCTGTCCAGTATCTCAGAAGTCTCCTTTTTGCCCCTTATTAGTCTATGCCCAACTCTCAAGAGTAGCTGTTGTCTTGACTCGGATCAACACGGATTGGTGTTGTCTCTGACCTTTATATAAATGAGATCACATGGTACTGTTTATATTTGGCTTCTTTCATTGTTATCTGTGAAATTCATCAAAATTGTTAGGAGTAGTTATTTTTTAAATTTATTGTAATTTGTTATATATGACAGCAGAATGCATTACAATTCGTATTACACATATAGAGCACAATTTTTCGTATCTCTGGTTGTACACAAAGTAGAGTCACACCATACATGCACTTAGGGTACCAATGTCCATAGGAGTAGTTATTTTTTACAGTTCTATAGCATGTATGTATTTGTTCTGTTGGTGAAAATTTGGATGTTTTTATTTGGGGGCTGCTGTAAATCAACTATGATTCTGGTTCTCGTGCCTTTAGGTGAACACACATCCTCATTTCTGTTGGGTAAGAACAGGATTCCTGTATGAGGTGTTCGGATTTTGTGGATACTACCAAGTACTTTTCCAAAATGATAGCAATAATCCACACTGACTTTAGTAGTAATTCAAAGTTATAGTTACTGCCCTTCTTTCCCAATAGCTGACATTTAAAAATCTTTTGACCATTCTAGTAGGTGTGTAAAGGTATCTGTAGTTTTACTTGCCTTTTTTGCTATTTGTTTTGTACTTCTTTCTTATGAAATGCCTATTTCAGTGTTTGCCTAGATTTTTCTTATTGATTTATAGGAGTTGTTCTGGGAAAGTCTTTTGTCAGGTATATGTATTTCATCTATCTTTTCCCACTTTACGACTTGCATTTTAACTCTCTTAATGGTGACTTTTTATGAAGAGAGGTTTTTAATTTTAATGAAGTCAAATTTATTTTTGTTTTATGTGCTCCTTAAGAAGTCTTTGCCTACCCCAAGGTCTTAAAGACATTCTCTTCTAGAAGCTTTATTGTTTTACCCTAGAGTCCATCTGGAGTAGAATTTTTTTATATGGTACTGGAGCCCTAGTGCCATATATTGAGAGGACTGTCCTTTCCCCCATCCCGTATGGTGCCTTCATCATAAATCAGATGACTGGGTATTTGTCTGTTTCTAGACAATCTATTCTATCTCTACTTCAAAGTTTCTATGTAATCAGTTTTAATTACTGTGACTTTTTATGTATTGATATTTAGTCCTTTGATCTTCAAAATTATTCTTGCTATTCTTGGCTTTTTTCATTTCTACTATAAATTTTAGAACCAACTTGCCAATTTTCTATACACCTACCCACCCACACACGCCCTTCCAGGATTTGGGGGTATATTGTTTTAAATCTGCAGAGCAATTTTTGGAGCATTGGCTTCTTTCCCTGTCAGCCTGAGCTGATTTCTTTCTTTTTTTTTTTAATATTTATTTTTCAGTTTTCGGTGGTCACAGCATCTTTTTATTTTATGTGGTGCTGAGGATCAAACCCAGCGTCCTGCACATGCCAGGCGAGGGCATCCCCAGCCCCAGCCTGAGCTGATTTCTTCATATTCGGCCTTTGGAGAATAGCGAGGCCCGCTGCCCTGCTCCACTGGGGCTTTGCGTTCCAGGTGGGAGTCGGGATGCATTCCTACGCCTCTGAATCTCCTCTTTACCGTCTCTGCATTGTGCTGTGCTTTGGGAAGGTGGCTGGTTTGGATCACTGCAAATGGGCTCCTTTACCTTTGGCTTCTAGTCAGGTTCAGTCACTGGGAAGGCACCTGGACAGGTCATCAAAAGAAGAGTGTGAGGTCAGGGGCTTCACTTCTGTGCCCTCCACCAAGCAACCTTGCTCTTCTGACTCCTCCTTCTGGCCCCTTCAGTCTAGGGTGATAATGGCTTCTCCCACATTATCACATTATTTCCCAGCACCTTTTAATCACTTTGTTAAACTCTCTCCAAATAATGCAGTTTGAGCAGGTCATCTGTTTCCTGCCAGGACCCTGATTACTACAGAAGTGGAAGATAAAGAATGTGCTGAGTAGATTTTAAAAAGAGCTCAGAGAATGAAGACCAGTTGCACCAGTGATGCCCTTGCGGGGGTCTGCTGGCAACACGCACCTCTGGCTGAGACTGCCTAGGCATAGTGTAGAAGCTCGGCCTTGCTCTTTCTGATATCATTTGGAATCACCAAGTGATACTTTATGATTTAAAAAGTAAGATTAGTAGTCTCATAGTGCACCCGTAAATGACAACAGTGTTTTAGCATGAGTTATTTTTTCACTTTCTGACTAAGTTGTTAATGGATGCTGCCGTGTTTGTACTGCAGTCTGAGAAACATCCACAGTACCGCCTGAGGATGTTCGAAGACAAGGTGAGAGTGTCAAGCTGAAACAGTCTTTAAAGTAGTAATAGAATTGCTCCTATTTGAAAAATTAGAATTGAACCATTTCTGGGGACAGCAGCCTCAAGCTACTGTGAATGAGAGAGAATTATACTAATTCTTTAGTGAGTCTTATATTGAAGTCCTTTAACTCTTCTTTTGACAGTTGGGTTATTTAGTTGTCTGCTTTAGGAATTAATTTTTGGAATGACATCTGTAGTGCTGGTAATGAGTACTGTCAGCCTGAAATAGAAATCATGTCCAGAATGTCATTTGATGACAGTAGTAATTAACCTGGATCACACATCAGATCGTACAGGCAAATATGATGGTATAAGGACGGTTTGGTGTTTAAAATGAAAATGCCAATAGCAAGTAAAACAGGTTGTCAAATAGTTTTAAATGAAGTTTTACCTTCTTTAAAAGGTAAGTAATAAGTAGAATTCTGCCATGATCAGCTTACATTTTAGTGGACAGGGCTGCTTATGTGTTCTGGTCTGTATGTGCCTAGGTAAATTGTGATTTTGGGTTTCATGATCACTAGTGTAGCTCTCCGCCAGCTGCTCCCTTAAGTTACTGTCCAGCTACCATTCATGGGGCATCCCAACCCTGCAGGTCATATACCCTAGGAGATCACAGAGCCCCTTATACTAGAAGGAGCAAAATGGTGGCCATCAAACATGTTTGTCCTCGTGTTATTTATTTTTAAAAATTGTCTTAAACTGGAAAATACAAATAAAAATATCTCAATTTATGACTTTTTTTTTTAATGGATGACCTGAGAACAGTGGGTCCTTTATTCTAGTATGGTGACAAATGACTGTGATGGGGGCATGTGCTTAGTTGGGAGCCATGATTGTCATCTGGCCAGCTTCGCTGGGTTCTGTGACTCAACCAACCTATGAGGCATGTGTTGGTATGTGTTCAACACATCAGGGATACTTTAAGGTGCCAAATGGGAATAAGAGAAATAACTGATGTTTCATTGTTTATCATTGATATCAGTAGCCCTAAGCTCCAAGAGGCCAGAGAACTTGTCTATTTGTCTCGGTATATACCCAGTATTTCATGTTTGTTGAATTGAGCGGAAACTCTACCTAGGAAGATGAAACTGGTGATGTGCAGGACACTTAAGGGGAAGGCTGAATGCTGGAGAAAGACATAACCTTAGATAGGGCTGAGGGTACAGGGTGAGGTGCTGGCCCAGAGAATGCAGTAAGGGGCAACCTTGAGTGACAATTCAAATAAAAATCTGTTGGGTTAAGAGACTGGTGGGATGTAGAAGAGAGAAGGAAAGGATGAGTCTAAACTGAAAGAGCCGCAGTGCCATTAATCTCCAGCCAAGAGGGTGATAGGTGAAAATGACAGGATCCCTCCCGTTCTCCCAGTCCAGACCGTTGGACCTGAAAGGAGCCCAAGATTTAGTTGTATTGATTCAGTGAATGCTAGTAACCATACTCAGGATTTTCCCCACGTTTTTAATCCCAGAGCTAAGACCATAAAGAACACAGTCTCTGTGAACCTGGAGTTGACAGCAGAGGAATGGAAGAAGAAATATGAAAAAGAGAAAGAGAAAAACAAGACTTTGAAGAATGTCATTCAGCATCTGGAGATGGAGCTGAACAGGTGGAGGAATGGTAAGGAGGAGTGGAGAGGAAGGAGGGGGCCCAGTGTGTGCTTTCTCTTTCCCCGACTGCTGGCCTCCTGGGAGGCACTTGGGAAAGGGCATGATGGCAGAGCTTGGTCCAGTGGGAACAGCCTCTGTGAGCAAGCAGCTATTTTCTGATTTCCTAGCCCAGATCCACACCTGCATCCTGTCAGTTGGCTGGCACACATTGTGAGTGTGGCTAGGTGGCCATTGGCAAGTTTGGCCTGATCTGTTTCCAATGAGACACCCTGACTGTTGCTGTCCTCCATTCTGGTAGCCATTTCTGAGGCGGGTCATGCCTGAGACTTTGTGGCTCAGATTGCTTTGGACTAAATAAAAAATCCCCTCTCTGATGAATTATATCATTTCTTTGGGGTTAAAAGCCACCATTGGCAAACATTGGTCTTTTTTTTGCTTAACTCACCATCATGCTCTTCTTTATCAAAGGCAAAAGCAGAGACCCCTAAAGAAGCCAGCCTGTGCTAAGATGGATTCTTGTTTCGTGACCAGTTTTCCTTTTCCCCCCCAAAACATTCTCTGTGGTTTGTTCTACTGGGAGAAAATATCTCAGAGAGCTGACGTGCATTGGGTGGGTGGGTTGTGGGTGAGGTGTTAAGAGGGGTTTCCAGATCCAAGTGCAGACAGGTTATTTTAGTGATTTTTAACACTGTGATGGAGGTTAGAAAGTAGAAGAGTTTCTTTTTTCTTTCTTTCTCTTTTTTTTTTTAACTGAAATGAGGCAGGTTGGTGTGTGTGCATGCAGGGAGATGGCAGATGGTTGGAAGTTTTTCCTCAGACCCTCTGCTGCCGTCACCAGCATTTATTTCAGGCACTACAGCAGACCTGAGCTCTGGGTGTGTTGGAGCTTGGGGGCTGTCATGCCGGATCAGGAGGTACTGCACCTGTTTGTAACTGCCGAGCAAGCAAGCAGCAGATCATCTCATGCTTGTATGTTTGCTTCTGCTTTTTGATAGTAAGGGTGGGGTGTCAGTGAGCTGCTGTTTAATCCAAAACAATTATGTGGCAAACGAGGATTCAACAAAGGATCAAAAAGTGACCTAGTAGCCTAAATAACGGGTTGCTTCTCTTTTCAGGAGAGTTTCTAGCTGTGCATGTGTTTTGAAAGCTGCTAGAATAATTGAATAATTCAGCATCTGGTGGATGATTCCTTACAGTTTGGCAGAAGTAGGAGAGTGGGGAGGGGTGGAAGGGAAAATGGGGAGTGGCCCTATGAAGCGTTGTTTTATTTCTGGAATCCTCTTGGGTCAGTTCTCTGTTGGATGACTGGGACATTCAGTAAAGCCTTTTGGTAAAGTGTTGGGGGACAGGGCTTGGAAACATTGTCACCTGGGCAGTTAACCTGGTTTTTGTTCACCCTTTCTCGTGCTGCCTTAGGATCCGCCTCAGCCTCATGTGCCTGGCTCCCCAGTGCCAGCATCTTTTTGCATGCTCTATCCTGCTCTTGGCCTCTCCACTTAGCATCATTCTATCTGGTACCCCAATTCATCCACACTGCATATCTACTCAGAAATTACCATTTTTGGTGCCTTTTGTCAAGACCCTACATAAGCCTTTAAGTTACATAGTTTCAAAAGGAAGACATGATTTCTGGCACATAATAGATCTGCAATAAAGGCCTGTTAAGTAAACGTATATTAATGAGGGTGCTGGAGATTAAAGGAGGGTGGGCCATTGGGCCCAATCTCTCTTCTGCCTGGAGATCGCCATCAATAAACATGTGGTGATGGTCTGTGGTGCATTTCAAGAAGGGAAACTGCATTTAGCCAGGAGTTGTTACCATTGGGGCCTGATGGAGGCTGAGAAGCCCATGTGGGCTTCCAGGAATAAGCAGTACAGAGAATAGATCTGAGAGAAACGGCAGTTAGGTGGCTGAAACAGAAGGTGTTAGGTGGGGGTGGGGCGTGGGTAGAGGGAACCAAATTTATAAGGGTCTTGAGAGGAAGGGCCAGTGGGGAGGTAAGGGATGCACTGGTCTGAGGTGAGCTTGGAAGGGTAGGTGGTGCTGTTCCCAGAAAAGAGTTGTCCTGGATCTTGGAAGCAGTGAGAAGCCATTCAGGGTATTAAGCTGTAGTGTATATAATAAGATCTGGGTTTTTGAAGCTCCATTGGTTGTGTAGGGGAATGGGCTGGAATGGGTAGAGAAGGAGCTACCCACAGGATGAGATGATGGCAAATGAATTGGGAGGTGTGGCAGGGGAAGGGAGAGGAATGCATGGACCCATTGCACGCTCTATCCTGCTCTTGGCCTCTCCAAGGTGGAAAGTTAGCAGGGATTGGTGGGAATTGGCTGTGGGCCTACTATGAGTGCACAGCTATCTCAAGCACTCACAGCACATCACATGATGTGCCAGTGGACTTCACATACACAAACCAAGCCAGGCTTTCATTATGTCTCTGGGGCTGGGTGTTGAATTCCCAAGCCCAGTAGCCCTTAAGGTCCTGACAGGTTAGACAGCTCCCTCCAAGGGGACTCAGTCTCTGGTAGACCAGGATCTAAACTGGAGGAGCTGGTCTAGTTCATGTTATTTCTATTGTTGGTGCTGCCTACACGTGGAGCTAGCTAGTGATTTGTGCTCAGGCCAGTGAGATGAGTGTGAAAAGTACCACCCCAAAGAAAGAAGGGCCTGGAAGCCCTTTGGTGTCCTATGTATCAGTCCTAATTCCTCCTAGCTAAAGTCATGAAGGTGTGGCTGGTGTGCATAAATTAGAAAGCTGGGATAGGGAGTACAGGAGATGCAGTACCCTCCACTCAAGCCAGAGAGGCAGGATATTGCCAACTTTCTTTTGAAATTTGACACACACATTGGTTTTAAACCCGTAGGAAGCAGCCACTAATTTCCCTTAATGTTTCCCAGGTATTGGGGTCTGAACAAGTAATGGGCACCTTGTCCATTGTGTGTCCTCTCCCTGGGAAAGAGCCATCTTTCCTTGCATGGTGCATTCATTATTTAAAAGCTTCCCTGTACACTCTATCTGTAAGAGCCAGGAAGGACTGCAGTTGAGTGTGTGCATATGTGTGTGTGTGCACCTTTTCCTACTTGCTATCACAGATCATGAAGTAGCAATACAGGGAGGAGGGAATCAGTTGCAGGAATCAGTTGCAGAGAATGTAAATAAAGAAGGGAGACTTGTCTGATCCAATGGACAGTGATAGGACTGTGCCAGGGGAGGGGCAGGCACTGCCCATGTGAAGTATTACTGTTACATGCCTAGAGACTGGTCTCAGCTTCTCTCCCCACCCCCACCTCTACCAGTACCAATTTTGTACCCTGGTAGCTTGATGGGTATGATAGATTGTATCCTCCAAAAATTCATATGTTGATATCCTAACCTCCAAGGTATTAATATTGGGGAAAGAGGCCTTTGAGACGTGACTATTTCCTAAGATTTAGGGCCCTTATAAGAGTCCTGAGAAACCGTGCTTCTCTGTTTTCTGCTATGTGACGGTTCAATGAGAAGATGCCTTCTGCAAGTCTGAAAGAGGGTCCTCACTAGAATCTGACCATGCTGGCACTCTGTTCTTAGATCTCCAGCTCTTGAATTGTGAGAAATCATTTTTGGTGTTTAGAAGCCCCAAGTGCATCTGCATCCTACTTTGTCACAGCAGCTCTGACTGGGCTACTCAGAATGCAGGCAGGGCAGTTTCTTCCTCAGGGCACAGCTGAGTCTTGATTCTCAGACCAGGACTTATGACTCATAGGCTATATTCTGCACAAGCCTGAAATCATTTATGACATTGTCTCTTAAGGCAGGATAGCTCTGGGCATGTGCATGGTGGCTTGAGGAGAGGCCACACTCTGTTTTTATAAAGGCAGGCTTTTTACGCCACTGGCCTGGTTTAATTCTGCAGCGTGCCAGTTAAGGTCCTTAGATTGCAAGCCATAGGAATTGACCCTATCCCAGCTTAAGCAAAAAGAGACTGCATTAGAAGAATAGGAGGGAGTCACAAAATCCAAAGATCAGCTGAGGAACCAGGTTCCACAGGCAGAAGCTGGGCTTGGTACACACAGCAGATCTCATAGGGGCCAGGCTGCACCTGGAATGAATCCTCTCCAGCTGTTTTTTTTTCCCGTGCTTGTAGTATAATGTTGGAAGAACAGAGACCCTGGATAGAAGAGGAATTCTGCGCTTGGTGGTGGCTTGGCTGGGGAAGGATAGGGTACTTTGATAAATTGTCTGATAGAGACTACATGCAATCCAGGGAGTAATTCCTCAGAAAGAGGTTGAGGTGCTGCTATGAGAATGGATGTCAAATGATTGAAAAGCAGCACATGGTCACTGTAATTTGCTAGTGACATCTTGTGGGCCAGTCTTTCATCAGACCTAAAGGCTTTGTTGGCACTTGACCCTCAACGAAATATGCTTGCCTACTTTCTTAAGGAACAGATGGATGGGGCGAGACAGTTGCCAAAAAATGGACCTCTCCTTTTAAAGCTTTGTTGATCATATGTGTGGGAAGGACTTGAACAATCCTGTATATGGGGATAGATGTAGATAGGTGGATTCAGAGTGAATTATGGCTTCCTGGTCACCCCTATCTCCCCTTCATCCATCAAGAAAACTCTTGACAGGAGTATGGGGAGGAAGGGCTGAAGAGTAAGGACATGATGTTCAGAAGTGGTTGGGTCCATCATTCCCTTGGCCGCCAGATCAGACTTTATCATGCTCACCTCTGATACTCTGAATTTTGCATTTAAAAAAGAAAGAAAAGGAAGAGGAACTTTTTAGTAGGAGTTGAAGTCAGGAAAAGAAGGACCTGAAAATCTAGGTGTCAAAAGAGAGCAGGGAAATGACCTGACAATCTGGTGCATCTGCCGAGTCTCTTCTCTTGAATAATTAATATAAGATTAAATAATAGAGTGGAGGTAGCTTTACCCCCATCTGCAGAAATCATGCAAATGAATTATTTCCTCCCAGGCTGAGAAGGTGTGGAAGAACCGGTCATCTCTAAAGTAGATTTGTTCTCTAGGTTTAAAACCTGCCATACCAACAGGCATGGTTCAATAACTAGATAAATCTGTAACTTCTAGTCCAATTTGGGGCTTTATGGAGCTTTGGGACCAGAGTTGTTGGCATGCTGTTTGCTCTCTCAGCATTAAATCTGTAGAAGATGCTGGCCGCCTTCTCAGATTCATGATTATAGTGGATCCATAGAAATCAGCATTGTGTTTGAGATATCTAATTTGCCAGGCCCTCTTTTCTCTTTTTGAGAGCGTAACCAAATTGTAATAAAAATACTGACCGCTTGGAGAACCTTGTGGCCTGTTCAAGAGGCCCTGAATGTAAAGAGGGTGGGAGTCCCAGGTGATCAGTTTATTAGAAAATTACTTTGGAAGGGATTAGAGAATGTCTTAAGCTATTTACAGTATTTTTAGGAACTAGGGTGAGGGATGCTATTTGTATGCAAAATAATCTCTTAAAGGAGTGCTTTTTTTTTTTAAACCTCACGTTTATATAATGACATCTTTTAGCCAGCTGCTCTTACCCATCTGGCAACTTAAAGGTTTCCTTTTAGTTTCTTTGATATAGAAATTACTTACTGTTAGGGTTGCTACTGGGCCTGTTTAATTGGTATTAAAACGAAACACCTCATTTGCCAGATCTGCAGTGGTTTCTGGCGGAAGCTGTGAGTGACCAGCAAATCTCTGCCCTGGAGTTGTTGAGAGAATGCAATTACCTCTCTATGTTCTCCCGAGGTTTTAGGGACTCAGCTTGTGAAAAGGATAACTAGCTTGTTGCTATTTCATGTGTGAAATTTTAATGAATTCCTGGCAGTCTAATGATTTTCTTTTTTGGAAAGAAAATAGAAAACAACCAAAAAAACCTATTTTAGAATTTTTAACTAATAGACCTAATGAGAATTTTTGATTAGTCTATCATTCTCGTCTATTGCAATTGATGGATTTCTATTTTTTGTAGAAACATTATTTATGCTCTCTGGGGGTTTTCATTTTATAATTAGAATGCTCTGGAAGCCTTATAGGTATGCTCCAAATGAGTGCTCCTGTGTAAACACAAATCTTTTTAGTTCTTAAAGGTAATTACATCTGACAGTAGTAAATGCCAGAATGCTTATTTGAAGAAGGGTAAGGTTTCTGGTGGTGGGGGGAAGCCTTTCAGTGTAGAAAATCAGATGCTTTCCAGTAGTATAAGCTCTTTCCTTACAGATAGCAGGCATGCGCCTGAGGGTCTAGGCTAAGAGATATCAACCTTTAATGCAGAGGGAGAATAAAAAAAGGTGCTAATTTTTATTTGGTGGTCCTTCTCCCACTAGCAGATTTCAGGGCATTATTCCTCCAGGGTTTGTTTGCAGCTGTCTTCCTCATTACAATCAGTTATTTCGTAATCACCTAGCAGGGGCTTCTCCGGAGACTCGGTCCACTGCAGTGCAGGGAATATTCTTGATTAACATGGTGAGATTGCCATGGAGACAGATTGCCTGGTGTCAGGTCTTGCACGGTGTTGGGAATTTACAGTCCCCAACGTCTTTGTGAGCTGGACAGTGCAGTTATCAGGGGTGCTTCTGGAAGTCATTTTCTCGGTCCTTTGAAGGGCAGTGGTATTTGGGAAACCAGCTCTTGGTTCCTCTTTGGGCAGGAGCTGTGCTGCTTTTGTTTGTGCATGTTGCTGCTTTGTTCTTCGCAGTCTGAAAGGCTGCTGCAAAAAAATAATCCTGACTGCCTGACCTTTAGAATACAGACTGGCAAGAGCTTGCTGTTTAGATGTAGCTTTGTGGGAGACATGTTGGTGCTTTGATTCAGAGAACTGTTCAAGAGAAACCAGAAAGTCTGCTGTGGACTTCAAATATTGTTTTAATAACAATAAAAATAAACCAGAAAGAGACTTGCATAACTATATATATTGTGTGTGTGTGTGTGTGTGTGTGTGTGTTTTCCCTTTTTGGAACTGAGGTCTAACCACAAAGGTATTGTGAAAACACTAGAAACATTAATCTCAGAATAAGTAAAAATAATAATTTATCTGCCAAGCCTAAAATTTTGCACATTTGTCAGGAAGAAGCGGAGGTCTGAGATGGACTTTAAACAATAACACCTTTTCTGCTTTTTATATATACTGTCTTCATCTATCTTTAGAACAACTATGATGAAGGCATTATTATTACCTCTCCTATGCAAGAAGCAATCAAGAGGTTAAGCAGAAGTTTGGCTTGTGAGTCATTAGACCTGTAGCTTTAGCAGCTGCCAAAGAACTAGAGGTATTTATGAGTGTTCATTGATCACTTCCAGGGTCTTGTAGCTGCATTGACTAGCTTGTTGGACCTCAGTAATCTAATTCCTCAATGGATGAAGAGTGCAGTTTTAGGGAGAGTTAGACCTATGACTTTTGGCCAGAACAGGTTACATGCTGCTAAGATCACAGAGTTCATCCCTGACCCCTGTCTGCCCAGAGGAGTCAAAAAACACACTGGCAGCTCCTTAGTTCACCCCAGCCTCATGATATCAAAGCATCTTCAGCCATTTGGAACCAAAAAACACAGAGAATATGGGAATATGTCTTTTCCAGATGCTTTTGTTATCTCTTTCGTGGGGTGACTTGGCCCCTGGATAATATGTTTATGGTCTGGCTGGTTTCTGGTCCAGTACAGTTAAGATTTTTCACCTTCATCATGCTTACGTGGGAAGATCAAATTCATAGTGCAGTGGATTTCCCTGTCCCCAAATTTAGCAGCTCTACCTGAAAAGATAGAGGTTCAGTCAGGAACTAAGTAGAGGAAGAACATTTGCCAAAGTGTTAGTGGGAGAAGGATCCAAGTTAGAATGGAGGGGAAAGGGGACTTTAAAGTTTTAATGTATGTTCTGTGTTACTTGAGTTGTTTATGTTGAGAATGTGTCCTGAATTATTTGTGTGGCTAAAAAATGTCCTTTAATCCGTCCATCCATCCATCCACCTTACTGCTTTTTATGGCCCATGGATTTAGCCGACTGAGGAGAATATAGATGTTTAATTGGATGAAATCCAGTCTGCACACTAAGGTTGTTGATGGATGTTTTAAGTCAGGAATTGGAACTGAATGAAATATTGATTTGGTTCAGGTTCAGTTCAAAGGCTACTCTTATATTCTGGTTTTGTTTCAGGTCAGTAATTTTAGAAAAACTCTCAGGTATGGTGCAGTCTAGTTCAAAAGGGGAAAAAAGAGTTGACTCAGGTTCGTATTCAGCAAAGCAATAGTTTTTCCTTCAAATTGCTGCTTCAGATGGATCTGTGATACAAAAGTGAAACCATGGGGTTAATTTTACCAGACATTGGGACCTATGTACATACCATTTTGTCATTATCAAGTGAAGTAATGGAATGGAAAGCAGCAAAACAAAGCCATCACACAGTGTTTTGTTTGTGTTGAAGTAAAGTGTAAAGTGGGTTCCTTGAGGCATGAGACATAGCATTACTGAAGGCACAGATTAGGATCTGTTCTACTTTTTTGTTTTTAATTCTCTCTGGTTCTGGGGAGTTTTCCTGGGGAACTTTCACAAGATGGATTTTATGGGCTGAGAACCTGAGTGAGGCATGGAACATCACAGACACTCACTGGCTGTAGTGAAATGAGTGTGAAGTTGGTGGTAAACATTGTGATGGAGAAGTGTTTGCTTTGGGTTTGCTTTCCAAGTAGATACTTGAGAGACACAGTTGAGCTCTGTGGTTTTCATTGAATCTGTCTCCATGCACTCTGTCTTTGCAAGGTGATTTTCTTGTTGGTAATAGCCATTGACCAGCTTAAGAATTGTACCTATTCCTCAATTTGCATTGTCAAATTTGGCAGTGCTTCCTCTGAAGGCCCTAATAAACACTCCTGAGCAGACTGCGAAGTGGTGGGAAGGCCCTTTGTACCATATTCTGGATTGGCTGTTGTTTTCTTTTCCTGGACTACCTGACATCACAGGAAACTGTTCTGCTTGAACTCTCTAGCAGAGCCAATTAATTCTGACTTCCTAGGGGAGAGTGGAGCGGTGGAAAGTGTGTTCCCACAGTGCTAGTCGAAGCCCCCACTTCTTCTGGTAGGCTCAGAGATTCTCAGATTGGGAGGATTTAGGGCCTACAGTGTTCTATTTAAACAATGGTGTTGTGCTCCTTGATTTGGCTGTTTCTACTAATGGAACAGTAACATAATTAATTGGTAATTAGCATGCCTCAGAGGTCTGTTTCCCTTTGAATCTGTCACTAGAGAGAATGTGATTCTAAGTAAAGCCTCAGCATATTTCTCAACAAAAGCAAAGTATGTGCAAAAAATTTGAGGCATTGCTGCAAATTGGATTAGTTAAGAGCTTGTGTGGTCTGTGGAACCAGTAGGCAATGCATCAAGGGGGAGGGGTAGTCTTCTTCCTCAGACTAATTTTGGTCAATTAACTCTGACCTTTCTTATCAAAGAAAGAGCACAGAATAACTTTATACTAGAGCTCTTCCTCTCTGTATTTTTCACCAGGAATGACTATTTTTAGAACTCTTCCTGGAGAGTTGAAGGCTCAGTTTCTTTTACGTCCAACGCCCCTTGGCTGTGTTTTGCAGGAGAAGCTGTGCCTGAGGATGAGCAGATCAGTGCCAAGGACCAGAAGAACTTGGAGCCCTGTGATAACACGCCCATCATAGACAACATCGCTCCTGTTGTTGCTGGCATCTCTACAGAGGAGAAGGAGAAGTATGAAGAGGAGATCTCCAGTCTCTACAGACAACTGGATGATAAGGTCTGTAGCCAGAGGTTTACAGTGCACGGGTGTGGAGAGTAAAGATCCCAGACAGCGTCAAATCTGTGGAAATATGTAGGGTTACAGAACAATCTTGATGTTTATCTTCCTAATACTTCCTAGTTCTGGATCCCACAGGCTCAGGGAGCTTGGTTCTTGTGAAATGGGAGTTTAATTGAAAGAGCAGGATGTTGGCTTAGACACAGGCAGGTCCTATTTAGTCTTCGCCTCCAGAGATTGGACTTGGCTGACCACTGTGTGGAAGAAGGGGTAGGTGAGTGTGTGTGGCCTTTGCTTGTGTGTATCTTTCTTTCCTCCCTTGGCCCATCCCTCAACAGTTGCCCCCCAACTAGGATCAAGGATGGCGGCTCAACAGTGAATTTAATCATACCTCTAAGGCCCTGGGATGGGAAGCTAAGTGCCGACTGATGGTTTACTTCATTTGTGAAGCTGTTTTCAGAGGCAGTTTATTGAAGTAGTTTGTACATGCTCATTGGGGATGTTTAATTTTATGACAAACTTTTGGGACTCAAATAGTCATGTAAATGCATAAGTTGGAATAGAGGAAAAGACACCTTGAAGAACATGTATCATTCATTCCCAATAAAGGTCGAGTTAGAAATCCCAGAGGCATAGGAAATGAAATTGGCATTTCATGTGATCTTGGCTTATTGCCCTTGGAATATTCTAAATCCTTTCAGTTCTTTTCATCAAGGTTGCTGATATTTTTAGTCTGATTTAATCTTTTCTGCTGTGGTTCAGCTCCACCTCTGGCTTGGATGAAACAGCTTTGTTATGTTAAAGTCACCATTAATCTTGCAGGTCTCTCTCTTTGGGGTAAAGCTCAGAGCCTGCCATCACCTTTACAAGCTGAATGTGACTGGTTGCCCGAAGGAAGCTAGTTCTGCTTGTTTGTGATTCTGGGAGTTTGCATTATAACCACAGCATTAAACTAGGGTCACCCCTTCCCTGTTGAATGGCCACTGCAGGTTTGGCTAGAAGTCCAATGTGCTATATCCATTGCACCATAGTCCTTCCCCTTCCCCTTCCCAGAATAGTCTTAATAAAATCTTCACTCCCTTGAGCGCGGGGTCACTCGCCCTTCACAGTTTGGACATACAGTCATCTTCCTTTTCTACCCAGTTTAAGTAAAACCTGAAAGATAAAATGGAGATAACTAGTAAGTTAAAAGTTTATGCAATTTCTTGATTTCTCCTAAGAATTTCTGCTGTTTAAATAGTCAAGACAGTTAGACTATGTGCATAGTTTTTCCTGTTTTATGATCAATGGGCTCAAGGAATAGTTTTAGGAAACCACAGAGCATCTTAGATGAGATGAGGACCTGACTCCACGTTCCAGGCTTCTGAGAATAGATGCCAGCCACGACTGGAATCGGCATAGTGCGCCTTGGTGGCTGTAGAGCTTTCATTGATTAGCGTATCTGTCATGTAGCCATGGGAACTGAGCCCAGAGATGAGAAAATGCTGTCTGAGACAGTCACTTAGTGACCAGAGAACTGGCTCGAGGATCTCTCTCTCCTTATGGCTGGCCTAGGGCATTTTCATTTTTCCTTTTTACATTTTTGTTGGTGCATAATATTTATATATATTAGTGGGATTCACTGTGACATAGTAAATCTTGCTTATGGCATAATTTAGTCAGTGTCATTGCTGGGTATCCGCCTTTTCCCTTCCCTCCTCTCCACTGGTCTTTACCTCTGACTGTCCTACTGGTTTCCCTTCTAGTTTTATGAGATTCCCTTTTATGCCCTCCAGCTTCCACATTTGAGAGAAAGCATACAACCCTTGACTTTCTGAGGATTTCTCCCATTTTATAGACTCTCTCTCATGCTTTTAATTGTTTCCTTTGTAGTGCAGAAGCTTTATAATTTGATGCCTTTCTGTTTACTAATACGTGGTGTTGTTTTCTGAGCTTTAGGAGTCTTTTTGACAAAGTTGTTGGTGCCAACATGTTGGAACATTACCTGTGTTTTATTCTAATTTTGCTTAACATGTTGTTCTGTGGTTTCATTTATTTTTCTGAAAATTACAATTTTTTTTTAATGGCTGAAAAAACTCCATTGTGTATATGCCACATTTCCTTTTATCCGTTCATCTGCTTACAGACACCTAGGCTGCTTTTATAACTTGGCTATTATGAATGGGTATGCATGTATTGCTATAATATGCTGACTTTAATTCTTTTGGATAAATACTAAGGGGCAGTAGAGCTGGGACATACATAAGGTGGTTTCATTTCCAGTCTTTTGAGGAACCTCCATACTGATTTCCATAGTGGTTGTATTAATTTACAATTCCAACAACAGTGTAAGGGTCCCTTTTCCCCCATGTGTTTGCCAGCACTTATTATTATTTATATTCTTGATGATTTCCATTCAACTGGAGTGAGATGAAATCCCAGTGTAGTTTTGATATGCATTTCCCTGACGGCTAAAGATGTTGAACATGGATTTTCATATATTTGTTGGTCACTTGTATTTTCTTGAGTAATGTCTGTTTAGTTCACTTGCCCATTTATAGATTGCATCATTTGTATTTTTGATGTTAAGTTTTTTGAGTCTTTGTATTTTGGATATTAATCCTCCAGTGGATTTCTCCCATTTTGTAGACTCTCTCTCATGCTTTTAATTGTTTCCTTTGTAGTGCAGAAGCTTTATAATTTGATGCCTTTCTGTTTACTAATATGTGGTGTTGTTTTCTGAGCTTTAGGAGTCTTATTGAGAAAGTTGTTAATGCCAACATGTTGGAACATTGACCTGTGTTTTATTCTAACATTTGCAAAATTTGTTTTAATTCCTGGATCTTTAATTTATTTTTGAGTTAACTTTTGTCTAAGGTGAGTGGTGGGGATCTAGTTTCATTCTTCTACATATGGATATTCGGTTTTCATAGGGCATTTTCTAATATGTCATTTGCCTACAGCACATGCCTTGATAGCCTGGCAAAGCACGCAATGTGAGGATAGCATCTGTGGTCCACTGTAGGATGGTACTGATAGATGTGGGAGCGAACCGAGCCCCAAAGCCTCAGCCTTAGAGGGACCAAGGCTAGTGGTCTGCCCCTAGTAATTCTGGGCCAGGACTGCCTGATCATGGCTTATCAACTGCTGTTCTTACGTGACCTCTCATAGGTTCTAGAAGATATTTCTAAGCTTCCGATGATGAAAGTGGTTAAATACCTTAAGAATACATGAGTTGGGGCATGGCATCTTTATGAACATTAAATAGTAGAACTCAAACTTTCTGGGTCTAGGTGAGACATTAACCCAGGGTAGTTATATGATTTATCCAAGTTCACATCACCTACAGGTGGTGGAGCTGGAACAAGGTTATGCATCTTCTGATTCCTAATCCAGTGCTCATCTCGTTTTGGCCTGAGCCCTTTAAATGAGAAACTGGTCAACCCCGGTGAATCTATCTAGGCTACATTGGGAGGAAGACTACTTAGTTTTCTCTTTGCTGCCCTCTGTCCCCCTGTGCTGTGCCTCTAGGGACCTAAAGACAGGTATCCCCAATGTAGTGCTGGGTGGTAGAAAAGCACACACTGTGGCATCTGGCCTGCGACCCATCAGGCCTAGGACAAAGCCCTCCTAAGGGTGCTTTTCTCATCTGTAACACAGGGTCTCTAGCTCTTGCTTCCAAAGCTAGCAGTGGGGATTTCAAGTCTCTGGCACGCAGCAGGCGCTGGGTAAATATTAGCTCCTTCTATTTTGGTCTTCTGGGTTTTGTTTGCTTGAGGGAGAAGCCACATCATCTGTGGTATTGAAGCGGTGGTGATGCCTAGGGGTATCGAGAGCAGTTACAACGGAACAAATTGGAGTTGGCATCCTCCTTGTTCCTAGTCACCTCTTCAATCCTACTGTGCTGAGGTGAAATAAGTGTGAGCAGAAGTGTAATTTGATTACTTATTACACTAATTACCATTGCAGGGAAAATATCTTTATAATTAAGGTGACCAGTGACCTTTTAATAACCATGATCGACCTTTTAATAACCAGTTCCCTATTTGTGGAGCTCTAAGTGTCATTTCATATATAAGAAAATTCAATATCTGAAAAGTGCTTTGAAATCTGCTTTCTGTGGACTAGATCTGAGTGAGCTTACTGTCCTGAGAGATATGCTTAACCATAGAGCAAATGCACAGCAAACCTTATTCTGAAAGTTTTGAGTCATTTAAAAAATAATCACAATTGACTACACCAATTTCTTAGAAAATTGTAGTTTAGGAAATGTCTCTAGTGCAAATGATGCATGTCCTTTATAATAATCCTTGCTCTTCAGCCTTCCAGGTAGGGACTAGAGGCCTAGGTTTTTCTTTGTACCTTAAAAGTCTGAGTGTCCCAGCTTGTCACCTGTGAGGAAGGAAGTTTGCATCTGAGACAAGCACGTCTCATCTTTGAGATGAGCACAGTCTAAGAACAAAGAGTCCACTCCCTGCTTTGCTTCTTTTGTTGTTCCTATCACTTGGAGTGTTGTTTATTTGTCCTGGGGGAGAGATGGCGGCACCCTGATGTTAAACTTCTGGAGTCTTTTATGTTAAGTTGTTTAATATTTATGTGCGGAGGAGCACAGATACAATTGCTCCTGGTAACTGACAAGCTAAGTTTATAAGGTAGAACAGAAAATATGTCCTACAAAATAGTCTGCTAATTGGAGAAGTACCATTTTGAGGCCATTTCACCCTGGTATAATTTCTCTAATTCTCCTGCCAATGATCTGGTTTGGGGAGAAAGGTCATCAGGATTTTGCAGAACCATTATGAAACATGGATGTAGAAAGCTTGGTGGAAAAGGGTCTTTTTGAGTAGTGGAGGAAAACCAAAAGATGAAAACCTAAGAAAAAGGAGATGCAGAGTCTATGCTGTTGATTTTAAAATGTTCTTGGTCTTTGTTTGTGACAATGAGTTCACCTGATTTACACAGATGCATTGACCCCACCAAACAGGCTGGGAATTTCCATGGAAAACTGAGGTTCAAGGACCCAGGCACTCCAGTTCACCCCTCTTTGCCTTACCTCTGAAAAAAACACTCTGAAAAGGCAGAAAGCATAGTACAGGGTGTTTTTAAAATCTTGTTTTGTTTTTTAATGGGCTTTTGGTGAAAGCACATAGGGGTGGGACCTGGTACCAAGAGAAATCTAATAATACTGAACTGGATTTGACTCTGGGGATAGACCAAAGAAGTGTTATCAAATAGGATTTTTCTCCTGTTCCTAAGAGAGAGGCAAATATGGAGCCAGGTTGTCATTTTTCACAGGCTGTGCTTAAAATTTCCTTTGAAATCATGAAAATAGCCCGTGAAGACAGTTTCTTTTGCAGTCAGGCGTCATCGCTGGCTGCTTCGCCCGCACTGGGGGTGGACCGCGTCTAGGGACAGCAGAGGTGTTTGTGCAGCATTGAGGGGTGGCAGTGGGTGGCCTTGCCTTTGTGGCAGCAACACCTAGTGGCAGGAAATGCAAGTGAGAAGAGCCAGATGCCTTTCTCACCAGTGACAGCCTGGGAAAGCAAGCATCAATGCCGTTGGATCCCCAGCTGCCTTCAGGGTTTTTTAAAACTGATAAGAAAAACAAGTTCCAATCAAGGGGGGAGGTCTGCTAGTGCCCAAGATGAACTTGCTAGTAAATATTTTTAAAGTCTTAAGTAAAAGCCTCCATGTGAAAAGATGTGAAAATGCTGGTCTTTCCTCCCTGTCGCATGGCAGCTTTCCTGGTCACTGATGTGTTTGACCAGATTTGGGACATTGATACATTATGGTGCCGATGGTTGGAGATTCACTCCCTTATTGTTTGAATTAGGAATTCACTGTCAATATCTTTGTGCCAGGAAGGATTTCTCCAAAGTTCCTTTTAGTTCCCAAGCCCTAGTTTCTCTGACTTCTGGGAGAGCAAGGATTGGGTTGAATGCATAGGATCTCGTACTTCTCAGACTATTCAGATATTTCACCTGGCTGGGAAAGGTGGAAGAAGTATTCTAATTCCCCAAGGTCCCAGCACCATTTTCCGCATCTTATTAGCAAGCCCCTGGTTGGCATCCAGGTGTCCGACTGTCATCGGGAAACCAGGATATAAAAAAATGACATAACTAACCAAAAAAAAATTCACCATAATGTTTTGTTTCAGGATGATGAAATTAACCAGCAGAGCCAGCTGGCTGAAAAGCTAAAGCAACAGATGTTGGATCAGGATGAGGTAAAGACTACAATAAATTCTTTTATATAGAGTTCTTTTATTATTCTTTGTTGTTGATGTTTGTTCCAGAAATTTAATTTGTAAAGAATTTTTATTTTTAAATCACTGAATCATGTGGAAATTTCTTGGTAGATTTCCTTTCAATGCCTGTTAAAAGCTGATTGGGGCTAAATTTAGAAAATAAATGTCTGACTTTGTAGAGCTCTGGGGTTTTGAGAATAAGTAACTGCTTGTTACCATTGGTCCTGGAAAAGCAGAGATCTCTCTCTTGGTAGTTAGGCAAGGGTGGTTCTATTTTGCTTGGACCCAGCACTCAGGGGTCCTGCTATTTTAGGCTATTTTGAATCTGCATATCAGCTGGCTTGAGTCTTAGGTGTAGACCCTGTTTTCCTGCTGTCCTGTAGGGAATCAAAAGCAAAAACAAAATCAAAAGTAGAAGGTAGAGGAAGGGAAAGTAAAGAGAAAAGGAGCCCCAGTGCTGTGTTAGCATATATTTCATACACATAAAAAGGAGGCAAATTGTTTTCAGTCTCTTCCTGATAGCATTCAATTCTGTAGTAAATGCCTTTTTGCATTGTGTTTGCCAGTATTTTACAAACAGGAACCTAAGCAAAGGACAGCCAGCCATTCTATCAGACACAGACCATTAGTAATTCCCTTGCTGAGGAGTGCCTGAGTACTTTTTGTCTTTGGTGCCTTAAGGTGCTTTCTGCTTCATTGATAGAAGGCTGCAGCTGGGACCCACGGTGCAGTGACAGCAGGTGGCAGGGGTTGACGTCCCAGGTCCCAGCCCTCCACAGACATCATCATCTCTGTAACCATTTCCTTCCTCTTCCTGTTTGTTTCTTTTCATCTCTCCAGTGCAATGATTTATGCCTTCTGCCCAAACATTTCCCTCAGGGAGACAGTCTATGCCTTTGTAATCAAATGAACCGCAGGTAATTGATTTCTATCTTTCTAGCTGAGGTCTTTCACTGGCCCAGTGTTTCCTGTGTTCTACCTCCTAGGCTATTCCTTGTCATTCCCAACATTGGGACAGCTGCCTGGGATAAATTTCCTTTTTTGCTACAGTTCAGTCTCTAACATTTTTATTTTTCTATACTATCAAGACATTATCTATTCATTATAGGAAAATCAGAAAATAACAACAGGAGCAAAGATGCTGACAAACCCAGACATTCTCTTTTAATCAGTGTGAATGTTCAGGGTACATCCTTCTGTGCATTCTTAATGCACATTAAGAAAAACTTACTGACTGCCTCTTTAATACAATTTTGGTCAACTTTGAAATCCACCTGTTTACCATAAAAAATATGATGATGTTGTAAAAGCTATATACGTATTATTATAATCCTTAGAAATGATTCCCCCATTTTTGGTTTAATGTGGAATATCTGGACAACTACAATGTGCAGTGATTTTTGATGTGTCATTCATTCTTTGATTTAAGTATACACAGCTTTAAATGAACAAAGAAAAAGGGAACAGATTTTCAAAATAACATTTAGAAAATATTTAGCATCTGCAACATATAGTGGAGTTTCCTGTCATCCTAGCTTTTCCAACGTGTTCTCTTGTATTTTGCTTTAATATTACTTTATTTTGGATAAAACAAAGATCAGAACTATTTGAGTAGTAACTTCACAAGTTCCATGCGGTCTCATTTCCCAGCTTTTAGCTTCCACGAGAAGAGACTATGAGAAGATACAGGAGGAGCTGACCCGACTCCAGATCGAGAACGAGGCAGCCAAAGATGAGGTGAAAGAGGTTCTCCAGGCTCTGGAGGAGCTGGCTGTCAATTATGACCAGAAGTCGCAGGAAGTGGAGGACAAGACCAGGGCCAATGAGCAGCTGACAGATGAACTGGCCCAGAAAACGGTTGGAGCATTTCTACCTAGGGGGTGGGACTTCCTCAGCTGCCATTCTTGTACTTACATTGACATTTGTTGACAGTGCCGAGAAAGGCAGTTGGCCAAATGCTTATTCAGTGTTAGATGCATTCTCTGAGGTCCCTCCAATCATTGATATACTTTATGGAAGTGACTTGTCGACTCATCCTGGAACTGCTTTTCCCAACTAATTTATATCCCAGAAATTTGTAGCATTAGCAAGTACACCTTGTGAAAATAGTCAAGAGAGTATAGACTTAGGAGCCAGACAAGTCCTGGTTAAAATTTGACTTCATAACTCATAGACCTTGGTGAAGGCATTTAAGCTTCTTGAGTATTCATTCCTTTATCTACAAAAATGGCAACAGCATGCTCTTTGTATGTTGTGGGCATTAGTGAGTTTATGTAAAGCACTTTTCAGAGATCTGTGCATATCCTACAAGATCAATAAGTAAACCTCACAGCATTGTTATTAACAGGCAAGAATTGGGGGACCTGCAATGCATTCTTCCTGTTTATACCTTCCTGAATGAAATCCCTTCTTTCCCCTCAGCTATTTCTCTCAGCTGTTACCTTCAGAAGCCTGGAACTAAGCTGTCTCTGTTTGTTTGCTGTCCAATTTTAGCCAATGTTTCAGTCGGCATGTTTCCTTATTCTCAGATTCTCCCAGTGAAAAGATGCTGTGGGTTTTGCATGAGCTACGTGCAGGCAAACAGGGCCAGTAAACAGCTGATGAAGTGGCTGGTGGTGGGCTGTGTCCTTTTCTACTGAGAAAATGGGTGGTGAAGCTGAGTGGCTATCACCTGCTGCTGCCCTTGGCACCTCTACTAATGACCTGGTATCATGCGATTGTGGTCAGCCTGCTTTGTGGAAAACATCCAGTCCTTCTGGGCCAGGAGGAGCAGCAGATGGCACAGGAAAGTGCTGATCCTAGGACTGCAAAGCTGACAGGAAATGCTGCTCGTCCCATACATTCAGCTGCACAGAGACACCAATCTAGTGGCTTCCCAACGTGGGGACCCTGCTTCTGTGCATCTTAAAAACAAGATGAAATAAATAGTTGGCAGCAATGCCAAACCAAACTAAGCAAACCCATCCAGAAGTCACTTAGGAACTGAGATTTTAGGTTTTCTCTGCCTAGTGTTTTCTCCAGGATTCTTTTAACTAGTCATTGGCATTATTTCCTTCTCAAAACAATGAAACAGTTTCCATAATAAAATTCTAACTTTCTGTCAAACCAAGGTACTATTAGACTGGATTAGAACACTATTTTTAGTCAGATCATTAAAAAATTCTCTGGTGAAATAGCTGCCTGTGGGAGAATTGCATAAATGTCTTTGAATTAGCCTCCATAGCTTTAGGGGTAGGGGAATTATTTCTCTGTAGGCTGAGTTAATACCAAGAGACCAAAATATGGCTATTCTATTGATGTTGGCAGTTAGTTAAGGATATGAACATGAAGGATGGGAAAGAGAAGAGTTTGTTAAAGTTTGGAAAGAAAATAGAACATTTGTTATTTATTAAGAATCTATCTCTTGTTGAACTTAACTAATTTTGAAAAAATAAGTAAATAGTGTTTAATTCAGCTTCACTGTGAAGATTAGGAGATTTTTCTAAGTTGTTTTCTAAACTCGTTAGTGTTCCTCTGGGCCATCTCATCCAGACCTATCTATTATTATAAAGTAGGTGGGAATGTGGAAGTGGTCCAAAGAGAAGGTTTTTTTTTAGGGAGTGGAGGTGGGGACACTTGTAGGTTGTTTGGACCCTGAAAAACAAACATCTGGTGGTAGGAAGAAGTGATTCAATGTTATAAACCCAAGGGTTCCAGTTTTAGCTTTATTTATTTTTCAATAACTGATTTCACTGACCTGGGAATTGTTGTCTGACATATAGACATATGATCAGGCCACGTGATATTGATATAAAATTCTTTTTATCAAAGAATACAGTGTTGTGTTACAGTTTGCCTCAAAAAGACTCTATGTTGAAATCACAGGAAACGATAAAAGAGCTCCATCTTACATGAAGCTGTTATTATTTACAAGGTTGCGTGCATGAAATTGATGGGCAACTCTTTTAACTTGTGGTCGGATTTTGTTTTTTCAGACTACATTGACAACCACGCAGAGAGAGCTGAGCCAGCTACAAGAGCTTAGCAACCACCAGAAAAAGAGGGCTACTGAGATCCTGAATCTGCTGCTGAAGGATCTGGGGGAGATAGGTGGAATTATTGGCACCAATGACGTGAAGACTGTAAGTCAGCCCTCTTTTTATTCTCTACCCCTTTTTCATAGTGTAGTTGTGAGTTAGCAGCCTCTGCATATAATTCTTTTAAGCATCCAATGCTTAGCATCCACAAGGTGCTGGGAAATATTTGAATGAGTGAGTGTTGCCATGAGGAGGATAAAAATAACTTCTCAAATCTAGGGAAGGTCTTCAAATGATAGTTGGCCTTATGCAAATTGGTTTATTCCTTAGACTTATTTGCTAATATCACAGAAGTTTGGAATCAAATGGCTTAAGCCACAGTTTTACTCTCAGAATAGTATTTCTCCTTTTCCATAAGAACCCACTGCAGTGAAAATTCTCCATCCAATCAGTATGAATTAGGAAATGTTTCAGGGAAAGTAATAGGATTCTAACCATGGTTTAAGAAATAAAACTGCATTTATTTATCCACACTATGAGAAGTCAGGAATCTTATTATTCAGTGTGATCTGGCCCCATTTCAGAACTACAGAATCAAAATTTAATGAGATCCTTTTGCTGATTAAGATTTGAGAAGCATATTTTGGTTCAGTGAAGTGGCTTGATAATGTCAAGAACTCAGTCTTTCTATTTCCTTTCTGCTTTCAGCCTGTTTGTTCCCTTTTCATACCCTTAGGATTTTGCATCATAGTGGCAAGATAGCTGCTATGGCACCCTCCAATGCGTCCTCACTCAACCACATCCCAAACAGGGTGGGCTGAAAAGCCTGACTACTTTCACCCAGGAGGGAAATAATCCCAGAAGTCCCCAGCACACTTTCCCTTATACTTCATTGGTCAGAATTGAATCATGTGACTACCCCAAATCACAAGGCCAAGGGAAGCTGGGAGATCAAGGAGAATGGGATTATACAATTGGTCTAAACCAAGCATCGCCCATCCCTTGGGGTTGGGTACATTGGTGTTCCTGATGTCAATGGAGTAAAAGAGAGAGCCCATTATGATCATTAACTGGAAAAAACAGGATAGAGACACTTAAAAAATCAGCTTTACTGAGGTATAAATTACATAAAGTAAGCTTCACATATTTAAAGTGTACAGTTGAGAAGTTTTGACGGGTACAGACTTGAAGCCATCACCAATCCTTAAGGGAATGAACGTATCTACTGGTCCCCAAAGCATGTGAGGCTAATGGTGGTCTGTTCTGTTTCGTTGATCTGATCTTTATGCCAATACCACAACATGTTGATAATCATAGATTTAAAATAATACAGCACCTATGCAGAGTGCTCATTGATAAATATGTGTTGGTTTTATTGAGCTGGGGAATGATGTTATACCCCTGAGATTCCTCCTCAGAAATCAGTAAAATGGAATTTTTTGAGTTTAGCCATTTTATCTTTAAAAGGCTGAATTTCATGTCAAAATGCCTAGTGGGAACACTCTGGCTGTGAGACGGGATTGTTAAATACTAGAAAAGGCTCCCAAGATTAGTTTTCCATCTATAGACTATTTTGGGAAACAGAAAGTTACCCTTGGATGGTGGAACAGGTCTAGGCTTAGGGTATACAACCTGTGGTCAACGTCATTGTTTCGTAAACCTCTGTTGTAACTGACTGTTTCATGGATCCTTGTGAATGAACCTAATTTTAGCACAGAATTTCCAGGTACTATAGGGTTAATCCTATTAAGTTCCAGTTTGGTGGTTTTATATTTGAGGATTTAATTTTTAGAACCATATGTTGGTGTTGAGCAATAAAATTCTGACACTGGGTTGATTAAATGGCCCTCACAATATGAAGGCATAGTTGATTTATGAGAAGTTGGCGCCTGCTGCTGATAACGATAAAGGAAGGTATTTTTATGCTAAGTTCTAAAATAGAGCTGATGAAAATGCTAATGAAATCAAAGAGTGTCTGGGTGCTTTGGCATTAAAAAGAAAGTCCTTACCTTTGGGAATCTGAAGTATGATTGAGATTATTTTTAAATACTCACTTGGATGCTTTGGAGATTATTTTTGGATTCCAGACATTGGATGCCCCAGTTAATTTCATTGATAACTCTTGCTTACAGATCATTATGTTCTTAGTCCTCCTGGTTTTGGTTTTTCCTTATAATTATAATTTAATCATTGGGGCAATGAGAGCTGTCAGAGGCTGCATGACTTTGGCTTTGGGCAGGTTGCTGTGCTTCTCTGGCCTTTTTTTTTCCTAATTTGTAAAATGGTCAGATGAGCCTCATAGATTGTGAGCTCAGACGTTACATGACTTCTGCACATACTGGTTAGGTTTATCATTATAGGTACAGGTATTTTTCTTATTGGTTATGACTTTCAACTGATATGGTAGTTATTTTGACATAGGAAAATAGGCTGATCAAGAATGTCTGTGTCAGTGATCTTTTATTTTCTTTCTAAGACCCTTCTCAGTTCTCACAATTCATTGCATCATGGTAGCAAGATAGCTGCTGTGGCACCCATCATAGACTCAAAAGACTCAGGAGGTCTTTCCTGGTAGGGCTGTATGGTAGGAGAACAGATGGCTGTGCGAATCTCCCTCGGCCCTCATGGCAGAATACGACAGACCGGAACATCCAGGGAACCCAAAACAAAACAAAACAAACAAAAATAAAAACACTACCATATTTCCTTACGTCAGTGGTGTCTTGAAACATTTCCAGAGTCCAGGCAATATTATTTTGTCAGTGTAACAAGATGAGCCTAGTAAATGAAAAGATGAGCCAGTGTTAATCGTCCAGGTGTGTTAGCACTCACTATCTATGTTGCTGGGCATTTTTTTTTTTTTAAAAAAAAACCAAAGATGTCTAGGAGTCTAGACAGAAACTGAATAGAAAGATAAAATGATATGTACAATTATTATGTTTCAATTAAAAAATTTAATTGAAAAATTTAAAAACAAAAACACTTCAAAAACACTGTTTCTCAAAAAGCCCTGTTAATGTAGGAACTTTCAGAGTTTGTACAATGATTGGATGATGAGAACTGTAACCTAATCAGTCCATCCTAGTTTGAATGGACTAACTGGGTGGAACTGTAGGCAGGTGGGGTATGGCTAGAGGTGGGTTACTAGGGTTGTACCCTGGAAGCCTCTTCCCCACTTTCTTTCTGCTTCCTGACCCTTTTATGAACTAAGCAGCTTTCCTCTGCTGAGTCCTTTTGCCATGACCTGCTGCCTCACCTTGGGTCCAGAGCAATGGACTGAGATCTCTGAAATAAACTTTTCTTCCTCTAAGTTTTTCTTGTTGTGTATTTTGGTCACAGTGATGCAAAAGCTGACTAAAACAGGAAGACAGTGGAGGTACAGCAAATGAACTGTATTGGGTTGACCGCCTAATTTCTTTTTCCCACACTGATTTCTTTTAGTCTGGTTCTGGGAATATGAATAATCACTTCACTTCACTTTCACTTGGTCTAGAAATGACAATACTTTCTCCCCTTCCATGGTCATTCCATGCTTGAGAGACTTAGGGTGGTTGTGGGGTTGACTCATTTCTAGGCAGATAGAAGGGGCAGGTTCTACTTCCCATTTAACTTCACTATGGTGCAGTCTTTCTAGCTGGATTGGTCAGTAGTACAAGACCATATGGTCTGGTGTATACTGCTGGGGGCATTGTCAGTCCTTGAGAGAGTTAAAAATAAATAACATTTTAGCAGCAAGCCCTGGTTTACTCTTTTTGAAATAACAGTGTGTTGGAATTACTGCAAACTCTTAAACAAAAACTACTAAATATATGCCCTCTGTAGTGGTAAGAAGCCTCATAGTTAAAAAACATTTGTTTGGGGTGTTCTTTTGTCATCAAGCATGGACTCAAAATCTCCTTTTAGATCTCCTTGGACAAGAGTAATCTTCAAAGTCTTGTTTGGGAAAAGAAATGCTCAGCTGTCAGTTGGCAGCAAGCCTATCATGTGTATATATTTACTCTTCCCCAGCTTACCTGGTATGTTAGTTAACTTTTTCTCTCTGTAACCAAAAGACTGGACAACAACAACTTATACAAGGAAAAGTTTACTTTGGGCTTTATTTCGGTTTCCTAGGTTCATGGCAGAAGTTGCAGTGGAGGAAAGAGGCTGAGCTCATGGCTGCCAGGAAAAAGAGAGATTGAGGTGCCAAGAACAAAATATAAACCCCAAAGGCATGTCCCCAGGAACCTACTTCTTCCAGTGCACTAGTCCTTTCAAATGATTAATCCACCAAGTGGACTATTCACAGCTATCATCATCTAATAAAATGTCATTTCCGATTATTCCTGCCTTATCTCACACATGAGCTTTAAGGGGGCACCTCATGCTACACCGTAACATCTGGGCACAGAAGACCAAGAGTCCTATTTTGACAGACCCAGGGGATAAGAGGGGTATGTTCTCTTCCCAGGATGCCCAGGCTGCTGACTCAGCAGCATCTCCTATCAGAAGCTAATATAGGCTCTGAGTCCCACCTGGAAGACATGATGTTCTGTGTCCGTCTACAGAGCCGGGCGATGCATAGGTACACCTGGCTGGGCTTTGGAAGATGTTCTGCATTCTTGTTCCATGCTGGGACATAGGCAGAAAAATAAAATTGAACTTAAATACTGTAGGCTTTTCTCACCTAACATCTCCAGGCTCTTGGATTATAAAGGGATGTAATGAGGGGTGGTGTTGGTATGCAAATCTTTGGCAGTTAGAAATCCAACTAGCTGAGCAAGAACTTCCATGAAGATAGAGTTACAACTGGTACTTGTAGATTTTAATCCTGTTAACGTAGATTCTGCCTTGTGTTGATTGATGTTGGTGGTGTCATTATTAAGTACTGTATTGTTATTGATTTTTTTTTTTTTTTTTGGTACTGGGGATTGAATCCAGAGGAACTTTACCACTGAGCTATGTCCCCAGTCTTTTCTGAGACAGGGTCTTTCTGATTTGCCCAGGTTGGCCTCAAACTTGCAATCCTCCCTCCTTAGCCTCTTGAGTAGCTGGGATTAGTGGCTTTTGCCAGTGCATCTGGTCTGTTGTTGAATTCTTATGGGAAGGCTGACACCAAGGTACAGGCACTCAGAACTGATTATTAGTTACTAATTTTCATATTAGCTACTAATTTTCAGAGCTGATAGCCAATTTCATTTTCCCATCTCTCAAACGTTTACTTAAAAAGTAGATATGTACTGAATTAATGACAAGTGGGTGGTGAGAGTATGCTGTGGAATATAAAAAAAAGCAAGCAAACAAACAACAACAACAACAACAAACAAAAAACAAACAACAACAACAAAACATACCTGAGTCAGTCCTGCTGGATTCTGTATGGCACTGTCTTTTCCTGAGGTGCGAGGCTGCCCTCTGGTGGTTAAACAAAGTACAAACAGTTCTTGTTCATTTGGCCAATTGCCCTTCCAGACCTGATTGCATCTTAGCAGATGCAAATATCTTGCATGTCTATCTCAAATATCTTGCTACAACTTTTGTTTCCAATAGAAATTTGAAACTTAGAAAATATACATCACAGGGGAATGCTGACTGTCAGAATCTTCTGTTCTAATGGTAAATTTCAACTGTTGTTCTCAGATTACTGTCTGCTTGGCATGAAAAGGCAAAGAAAAGTTGATTGGTAGCCATGAAAAATCATGCACGAAAACTTCAAGAGGAGACTTTAAAATGAATTCACATTGTCAAGGACTTTATAGGAAGTCCTTTTCTGTCGTTGCTTATAGAAACATTGAAGGCATTAGATTACTTCTCTAACTGAATAGGCAAACTATGGAGAACATGATCAAAATTTTGATTTGTGTTTTTATAGACATTAAAGGTTATCTGTAGGAACATTGGGCCCCACTGTTATTATATAGAGACAAGGTGTAGGGCATTAAACAGAACACAGCACAGTTCTGAAGTTATCTCCTTTCTGAAACCTTCAGTGCCTTTTCTCCTGATGTCATCTCTTTTATCTTAAAGATCAATCCTAATGAAAAACCTGGTTAATTGAGGATTATATTTAGCAGAGGTTTTCAATTGGATGTTTCACCTGAGGTCTCAGAGAACTTGGGGTTGAACGCGTAGTACTTTCCCGAGAACATTTTCAGCTTGCTTCATGATTAAAGATGCTTAGCCAGACATCTATAGACATCTTGAGCATCCATGGTCAGGATTCAGGGGATTCTGTGAGCCTCTGGAAACGGCAGTGATATTAGAGTGTGTTCCCTGCTGTGCTCAGCTGGCAGATGTGAATGGAGTCATTGAAGAGGAGTTCACCATGGCCCGCCTGTATATCAGCAAGATGAAGTCAGAGGTCAAGTCCCTGGTGAACCGCAGCAAACAGCTTGAGAGTGCCCAGATGGATTCCAATAGGAAGATGAGCGCCAGTGAGCGGGAGCTGGCAGCCTGCCAGCTGCTTATCTCCCAGGTAGGCCACCCTTTCCTCTCATGTCACACCTGGTCCTCTTGAGATCTGCTCCCCTCCATGCCCTTACTGGTGCTGATGGGACATAATGGTGACTGTTGATGCACTTTGCTTTACATAACCATGACCTCCCCAGGCAATGACAGCCCAGGAGCCCAGTCCCTCCTCACCCCTCCCCCACCCTCCCCTGCCCCTTCCCCCACTCCTTCTCCTTGCCAGAAATGATGAGCAAACTTTGTTTTTTTTTTTTTTTTTTAAATGCAGAATAATACAAGCAGCTTACAGTTAGTTAAGAGATTCAGTGACCCTTGACATATATTTTTACTTACAAAACGGTGACATGGCCACCATACCAGTTGTTCGGGGTTTAGGAACAAGACGTTGCAACATCTGGAAAGAAGAGAAGAACAACAAATTGCAGTAGCAGGGACTATAGGAGCTGGCCCTGAAAGCAGCTTGGGTTTCTTAAAACTAGATTTCATTGTGTGAATCACATGAATCCCCTTGAGACTGTTCTCTTTTTAAAGGATGTATGTCTATATCTCCATCTATCTATAGATGGCTAGATAAGTAGGCATATATAATGTTTGGATAAGATTGGGTGGAATCTCTAAAACTCTTATCAATGCAAAATTTCTGAATCCTTTAATTTCTATAAATATATGATTTAAGATGGGAAAGCAGAAACTATTGCTGCTGCTATTATTAATATTAATATAGTATCATGTAGCTCTTCATCGAGTGTTTACTGTGTGCTGTACACTGTGCTAAGCACTTCACATGATCTTCCTCACTTGATCTTCAAAAATTCCCTGGTAGACAGGATTTATTATTGTTTCTCTTTTTCAGGTAAGAAAACTGAGATTGAGATTAAATGTATTTTCAAACAGCCAGTAAATGGTGGTGAAGCTGGGGACTCTAACCAAAGTGTTTTTGAACCCAAAGCCCACGTCTCAGGATTTTTAATTTGCTCAATGAGCAAGGCTACTTTTTGTCTTATTGGAAAGGCATTTTTGTTCTAGTAAGGTAGTTTTAGAAAACAGTAACCTAGTTTCTTGGGCTGCCACTGATATCTGGGCTTGCCATTGGGGGTTGAGGTTTCTCTGAGTGGTCCAGTTGTGTGTGGCTCATGGCCTTATGCTAGGCACGAAAATGGCTGGTCATACCAACAAAGATTGGTGCCTCTAATAGTACTGAGAGACAGACAGAAGCATGCTTCATTCTGGTGTGCTTTTAAGCATAATAATATGTAATCATGGAAACATCTCCAACTCCTTGTCTGAATGGCTCCACCAGGTTCCATTTTATAACTAACATAATAGACAAAACTGTATTAGAAAAGATTTATCACTGCTAGTAGATGACATTGAGGTTGATATGCTCATACATTGTTCATAAAAGTATAATTTGGTTAGTGCATTTGGAAAGTGCTCAGGAAATACAAAAACCATAAATATGTGAGAATATTTTGGTCCAATAATTTTACTTCTACTAATTTTCATTGATAATGAAAATGAAGATTTTTCATTTCATATGATATTAGCACTTCCTGATTAAAAATATTAAAAGCTATGCACAAGCTGTTTAATATAGCATTATTTTACATTAGAATCAAATAAATTACCCAACTATAACAAAGTTACATGGAAGAATATTATGCAGCTCCTATTACGAAAATCCATAAAACCTAGCCATTTGGAAAGTATAATTATATAAAGTTAAGTGAAAATGAAAATGCTGAGTTATAGATCTTTGTTATTCTTTGCAACTTTGTAAAGTATATATGCCCCTACAGCTAACACTAGGACTATGAAAGGGAAATAGTTGATAAATTAGAGTGGTTTCTGAGCAAAATTTATGCCACCTTTTCTGGATGCTATATATTTTTCTAATTTATAATTTTTATAATTATTTATCATCTCGTCTAAAAAGATATTTTTCATAATTTGTAAAAATGGAGAAGAAAAAATGGTAAACATTTGAGAATGGTGGCCCTCAAATTCGGTTTCTGTATCACTTCTGATAGCGACAGCATGTGCTTCAAGGCGTCCTGCCCCTAACAGACGGGGCCAAGGCAAGGCCACAAGCAGAGGCCCCATGGCCTGCAGCCCAGCATTTTTTCTTTCCAGCTGGATGTACCAGCTCCATGCCCAAGTCCCTTCTGTGCCCTCTGTGAACTGATCGAACCATTGGAACTGTGTCAGCTGTACTCTGTGTAAATGGATGAGGACAAGTGTCCAGATCTCAGACTGACACTGACTTTAGTATAAGAGATCCGAGGCAAGAATATTAGGATGTTTTGGGGTTAAGTTCAGAAAGTTCTTTCTATTAGCAAAATGCACAGTTTTCTATTAGATGAAATGTTTGTACTCTGCTACGATTTACACAACCCTGAAGGTTCACTCATTATTCGGTTCAAAAGGAAATGAAACTTGACACTTTTCGGATGCGCTCTAAAGACTCTGACAGAGTACTGGCAACTGAAAATGCTACCATTCTTGTTTACATGCATCTTCTTCATCAAAATCTCTCCTTTAAAAATAACTGCTCCAGCTGAGGTGTGTTCTGGAGAAGTTACATCATAGAGCTTGACCTGCAGGGTCCTCCTGCCTAAAGGTGAGCTCCTCAGATCTAGGTGCCTAGAAGTTACTATCCCTATTCAGTCAGTGAGCTCCCATTAACTCATTCATTTTCTCCCCTTATTTATTTCCCTGATTTATTAAGCATATACTTTGTGCTTTCATGAAGCTAGCAAGTTAAAAAAATAGATAAGATAAATCATATAGCAGTAAGTCCTGGAAGAAGATGCTGGGGTCTAAGTAGTCAGGGAGTGAACCAGGACAGTTTGTGCTGGGTGGGGGTTAGGGGTGGTATTGGGGAGAGAGAAGCTTCATAGAGAAACCATAAAATGCAAAATCCCTGGCACAGGAGTCAGTGTGTTTGAAGGATTTAAAAGATCTAATATTTGAAGATGGAATCCAGAGGGCATGTTCAAAGAATAAGGCTTTCAGAGCTGTGCCCCTTTCCTAATTCCTTCCTCCCCAGCACACTTTTGTTTTGTTGTGGTGCTGGGGATTAAACTCAGGGCCTGGTGTGTGACAGGCGAGTGCTCTGCCATTGAGCTCACCCCCAGCCCTCCTACCCTCTTTTCCTTGGGGAGGAACACCAGGGTGGACTTTGGCCTCCATGTTAGGTGGATGAAGAGGAAGGAGAGGGCCATGAGTAGCATCTGTGGGGCATGAAGCAGAGAAGCACCTGGAAGAAATGGTACTGCCCTGATCCTCGATTCCAAATCCCGGCAATGGGCAGAACATGTGTCATTTGGTGTTGGAACTCAGAAAAGGGACACCAGAAACTCCTTTGTAGCTTCTCATCAGATAGTCCCAGGCAAGCCCGGAGCAGCGCTTGCTAGGCGTTCACTCTTCCTTTTGATCTATTTTCTTGTTTAAAGCACGAAGCCAAGATCAAATCTCTGACAGACTACATGCAGAACATGGAACAGAAGAGGAGGCAGCTGGAGGAGTCCCAGGACTCGCTCAGCGAAGAGCTGGCCAAGCTCCGAGCCCAAGGTAAATATTTGACGACTTTGCAGGTGTCAAATGCTTGGCTTCAATCAGACAGTCTCTAGTTGGCTGGAGTCATGATGTTTAGTTTTGCTCAATTAAAGTGTTTCTAGTTCTACTGAAAACAATAGCATCACGAAAGAAAAAGAAAAAATGGGGAAACCTGTGGAAGTGTACCCCCACTCCAAATCTGCCTGTCTTCTATTCTTCCTCGTTCTGCCCAGTCACCCAAGCCAGAATATTCTCTGCCTCTGCTGCTCTCAGCCCCCGACAGTCACCAAGGCCTGTCCCTTCAACTTGCCAGGTGTCCCTCTGGCTCTGCTGATTTCTGTCTTCACTGCCACTGTCCAGGATAACTAAGGATTGTGGCTACCTCTGTCTACTAAGGGGCCCTATTCGTCAGTCTGAGAATTAAAAGAAAATTTTGTCTTGTGCCTGAATCCATGCATCTCACCCTTCCACAGTATTTGTTGCTCTTAATGTAAAACAAGAACTTGCACCATGGCTAACCTGGTGCTCTCTCGCCCTTGAATGAGCTCTTCCCTTGGACAGGCGTAGGAAGCACTTTGTAAACATGAATACATAGGAGAAATTCAAGGGTGGCTGCCTGGTATGCATTGTACGATGTGAGACCAAACCCACGTATTGCAGGTTGCAATGAAAATTATTAGTCTTTTCAGAAAGTGATTTGGATAATCTTAAATTTTTTATTAGTACATTATAATCACACATACTAGTGGAATTCACAGTTGTAACATTTCTTCATACCTTTTGATCCTCAAACCTCAAATATTCATTGCAGACTTTTAGATCAGAAAAGAAAGAAAGAAAAGGAAAGGAAAAAAAAAAAAAGAAAAAGAAGCCACCTAAATGTTTAACAGTTAAATAAACTCTAATAGGACATTGTTTCCACACTGGAGATGAACTCCATGAGATGTGCCAGTGTTGATGATGCAATGGTAAAGGTTCCTTGCACTGGGCACTGTGGTGCACACCTGTAATCTCAGCGGCTGGGGGCAGGAGAGACAGGAGGATCGTGAGTTCAAAGCCAGCGTCAGCAATTTAGTGAGGCCCTAAGCAACTCAGTGAGACCCTGTCTCTAAATAAGATACAAAATAGGACTGGGGGGATGTGGCTCAGTGGTTGAGGACTCCGAGTTCAATCCCCGGTCCCCCTCCACCAAAAAAAAAAAAAATCATTTGCAAAATATTATCTGTGTTGTGATTATAACTGTTTAAAACAAATGGATGCATGTATTTCTAATAATATTTAACACAAATGGTTTTGTCAGGGTAGTAGAATTGGGGATGATTTTATCCCTTTTTATTTAAGTTGTGGTTGGGCAGTTATGTGCTCAGTAAATGTATTTTGTCTCAAATGCAAAGGCAAACTCATAAAAGAAAGAGGGCATCCCCACTCTGCTGTAACCTGGTAACATTTTCTTTATGTGGTAGTGAATGTGGTAGGAAGTAGAGTTGGCCACCAAACACTGGACATGGAAAACACTTGTCCCCTTTATTCATGGTTTCTGCAGTGATGCCATTGAATAGAAATAAAACAGAAATGAGACCTGAACTAAAGTGGAAAAAACTAGAGAGAAATCATGCACTAGATGTCAGTGTCTTAAATAATTTTGCCTTGGGCCCCCCAGCACCCTTCCCTCCCCCACTCCCCATTGCACCATGCCCTCAGGGCCCCATTGACCAGGAATACTGAGACTGGAGGGCCACACGACAGCCCTGCCCCCAGTGGGCCTCCTGATTAATCTTGGAATTGTTATGTCATATTCCCACTTCCCTTATTCTCACCCTTCGATTGTTTTTCTGCTCCAGATTCATAGAAAATAAACAGTTTACCCAGGGGAGGTAAATGAGCTCTTTCTGGAATTCTACCAGTGGCATGAATCCAAATGCCACCTAACACTCACAGGGTGCTTTATAATCTGTAGAAAGCGTTTATGTACATGACCTCAGGGGCTGTGTGCAGAGCCCAGGTGGGAACAAGCCTTCCAAGGTGTGAGGTGATTAGAGGCAGCTGCAACGGGGGCGTCCTGCTTCTAGTTAGCACCCCCACCCCCACCCCATTGATGGCTGCTTTCTTCAGGGCTCTGATCCAGACACCCTGTGGGAGGGGGTCAGCCTTGGCTCCAGCCAGGACTCCCTTATGGAGAGGTTATTTTCTTTTTGCCATGGTTGTAATTAGTGATATAATCTGATATTTTACTCTGTTGCCATTTTTTCGTGCGTGTGTGTGTGTCTTAATTTTTTTCTTTTTGGTGTGAGACCTACTTGTTAAATCTTAAATCATCATTTAAAATTCAAAACAGAAAAAATGCACGAAGTCAGTTTCCAGGATAAGGAAAAGGAACACCTGACGCGGCTGCAGGACGCTGAGGAGATGAAGGTGTGTATAGCTGTCCCTCCCACCAAGCCTGACGAGCATTGGGTGCATTTGGACTGCGTTTTTTTGTTCTAGAAAAGTCTGTCCCCTTCAGACCTGTGCATAGCAATTGTGTGTGTGTGTGGGTGGGGGTGGGGGGGCGGCACTGCTGGACATTCCGAGCCATTCTCAGTGTGGGCTGGTGCAGGTACAAGATGACCCTGGGACTGCCCAGGACCTCAGGTCTGTAGAGGATGGTTATGTTGCAGTCCTGCCTTGGTCTCCCCCATTCCTGATGGAGAGAAGTCACTGCATGGGCACATTATTGTTGGGGTTCACCTCTGAAGAAGGGTTCACCTTTCCTTTAAGTGATAGAAAACCTCTCCCCTTAATCTTTGCAAAGAAACACTCCAAATTTGAATTTCCATCTTAAACATGCAGATCTTTATTGGTCATATTTGAATCAGAAAAGGAAAACGTAAGAAAAATGACTAGGAAATAAGACTTTTGAGTAAATAAAATGAAATGTGAGAAGAAATAGAATGTAGGTTCATTTTAGGCAAACTCTGAGCCTCATCGAGCAAAAGCCCACACACAATTGAAGCAATGCCCAGGATGTGGCCCTGCTCCAGCCAACAGAATAAAATTATGCCTGATCTTCCTGAGTCCCTCTCCTGTTTTGAGAGGCTTTGGTGGAAAAGTGTCCCCCAAACATCACCATAAATCTGCAGTGGACAGTGTGTGTGTGTGTGGGGGGAGGGGGCGGTGTCATTTTGATGTGACTGGTGAGGAAGTACAGCCCACACAGATTACCTAGCTTGTCTGAGGCCACTCAGGTAATAAGAAGTCAAGGCCTTCTGACTGACCTGGCTAGAGAAGCCATGTAACCCAGGTGAGCAGTAGAAGATCAAGGGAGAACTTTTTATTTATTTAATACTGGGGAGGAACCCAGGGGCACTTTATCACTGAGCTATCTCCCTGGCCTCCCCCTACTCCCCTTTTTTTTATTTTGAGACAGATTCTCCCTAAGTTGTTGAGGCTGACCTTGGACTTGCATCCCTCCTGCCTCAGCCTCCCCAGTCTTTGGGATTACAGGTGTGCTTCACTGTGCCCAGCTGAGAATTTTCTCTTTAACCAGTGGATTGATTTGTTCCCAGGATCCACTTGGTTTGATTATAGATCCCTGGGCTTTTGTCCCAAGATAGCAAGGTCAGGTCCTGGAGGCACAAGAGCCAGAAACACCCTTACTTTGAGGATCTAAGATTCGAGGGAGGTAGACGTGGTTCCAGGGCTTGTCACAGAGTGGGCTGAGTGCCAACAAGTGAATGACATATTTCTCCTGGCCTGGCTGCAGAAGGCGCTGGAGCAGCAGATGGAGAGCCACCGGGAAGCTCACCAGAAGCAGCTGTCCAGACTTCGAGATGAAATTGAGGAGAAGCAGAAGATCATTGACGAGATTCGGGAGTGAGTTAGGGCTTGTGGGCTGTGGGGGAGGGAGGGTGCCTTGCTCTGTCCTCTTGGGCCAATTGGAAGGACATGTCCTTTTAGCCAGGGGCTGATCTCTTCACGCCCGTGGGCTCTGTGCTCTGCCCTTGACACAGTAGCCTGGGCGTGCTGCTTTGAGGTCTGTTCTCCCATCTGGAGCCGAGCTTCCTAGGACTCTGGTGGGGCAGATGGTGGGCAGGCCAGTCTGCCCCTCCTATCACCACACCCCCAGGGATAGGACCACATTGTTGGCAACTCAGCTGGGCAGATGCATGCCCCAGGAAATGGGAAGACTCTCTGTATGGAAGTACCAGAACAACTCCCAACAAAAAACTCCAATAAAACTCAATAAAACAACCCCAATAAAAACTCATCTTGACCTAGGGGTTCCCATAGGGTTAATAAGTTCTCCGAGAAGACAGCACATGCTGCCTCCTCTGCCCAGCACATACCTGCTCTCTGTGCAGCTGCAGCTTCCTGGACCCACGCTGTCACGTGTCTGCTTGGCCAAGGTGCCCGTGAGTTGTGGCACCACCACCAGGATGGCTTCATTGCTGTTTCACTGGGGACACCACCCCATGGCCAGCTGCACTCCTGCCTTGTCAGAGCCAATGGGGAGCCCCCTGCTCCATATGCCTTTCCATCTTCCTCCCTTACCTTCCCCCTCATCCGCAACACAGAAGTCACCCAGCCAGAAGGTGCCTTTGGGGTCCTGTCCTGAGGGCTCTTATTTGCAGAGTGGATCCTCTCCACAGTCTTTGAACAAACCCCTTTGCAGAAAAATGTTTTTGAATGCTCCAAATAAAAGCCATAGGGTTACAAAGAAAACAACTATATTATGTACAGTTCTATCCACTGCCCCACAACCCTCCCCCTTAAAGTTTCCCTCCCCATCCACTTTCTGTAGATAAAGAAAGGAGTTCTATATGGGAAGCAAGGTTAAATTATTTACTTAAGGTCACATTGCTAAATAGGAGTCAGACTGAAGTTAAGAGTTTAATTCTCCAGACTACTGATCCAAATCTCTTTTCAGCATCTTCGAGCTGCTTGTGCGGAGCATTTGCATGTTAGGAGAGGAGAATGGTAACTGACACAGTCTAAATGACGCCAGCGCTCTGCACATGGGCCACCTAAGGGAAGCGCTCAGCAACCTCTCTCCCCTTCTCCTCTGGGCCACCCCCATGCTGTCACTCACGTTGTGCTTGTCTCATGTTCATTATTCTGATTAATCACCCTCAAAATGATCAGCTGGAAGAGGGGGCTCCAGAGAGGGAAGGAAGGCGAGAAGGAAGGAGGGAGGGTGGGTGAGTGAGTAGGTGGGGGCTTCCTGGGTTTTGCCTTGCAAATAGCCTCTGGGCTTTCCTTTATGTGGTGTCTAATCTGTTCCTGTAGTCGCCTGGGTCTGCCCATACAAAAGGCTTTATAAGCACTGGGCTGATGTAAAAGCTGACCCAATGCCCCCAACCAGATGGCAGATTTCCGTCTGCTGCAAAGCCCTGAGTCTCTACTCTTCATAATTCCTCTCTCTGAACCTCCCTCAAGGATGCCACAGACTCAGCCAGGCATTTGGACCTGGGCGATGTCTTCAGAGCGCTCGCTGGAGAGGAGGAAGGTCGAAATGTCCACCCGAGGCTGTCCATGTGTGCCTGTCCTCTGCAGTCGACCAAGCCACATTCGTCTAAGGGGGCTTTCTTTCTGTTTTAAAATATCAGCCATCTTCCAATGTCATTATTTTTTTCCCTGCAGCTCCTGCACACAAGCAAATTATAAATACACCCTCAAAGCCCTTGTCTCATGCCTTCTAGATGCTTCCCAGAAATTAGTTTTCACTTGGGTAGGGAGGAAGCTGCGAGGCAGTTCTCTGATCCCTCAAAATCCTCCCGAACCGCTGCCTCTGTGGCACAGAGCTAATGGGGTTGGAACAGAACCACAGTTTAGCCAGATGACTCAGAATTTCAGACTGACTTGTAATATATTGCTTTTTTCCTCTCAATTTCAGTTTGAATCAGAAACTGCAGCTGGAACAGGAGAAGCTCAGTTCTGATTATAACAAGCTGAAAATAGAGGACCAGGAGAGAGAAATGAAACTGGAAAAGCTCCTGTGAGTACCTTTCAAATACTTCCTGTTTGCCCTCATGCCTGGGAGGTCTTAACAACCCTGCCTCTGTGATTCAGATACCCAGATACTCAGGTTAATTTAGAAACAGACTGGCTATTTGTGTGCTCCTTGGTTTGTTTTCCTGATTTATCTGTAGATGCAAATAGCATCTGCCTAATTTCAATTCCCCTTTGGTGGTTTATGATGCCTTTTTTGTTGTTCAGGTTGCTCAATGATAAACGGGAACAAGCCAGAGAGGACCTCAAGGGCCTGGAGGAGACTGTGGTGAGTCAAGACCCTTCCAAACTCATTTCTGTCTCAAAGACCAGGCTCATCTGTGACATGTTGAATTGTTTATTCTAAAATTTTATCTTATGTGACTTTCTTGTATATCATTTTAGACTAAAGCATTCTGTGGTGAAGTAGTATTTATACAATTTATCCCCTAGCTCTACAGAGAATCAATCAATCAATCATCAATCAGTAAATCCTTAGAGCTATAACCCTGAAGCCCCTGAATGAGAATTAAACTGAATTGCAAATCAATACCTGCAAGTTAATAGCCTCTACACTTTGTGATTTACTTCTCTTCAACTCTCAACAGATGTTTATTGAGCTCCTACTAAGTGCTGGCATTCTTATAGGTGCTCAGATATACCACATAGCTGTGTGTGGTGGCACATACCTGTAATCTGAGTCTTGGAAGACTGAGGCAGGAGAATTGCAAGTTTGAGGACAGCAAGACCCTCAGCAACTTAGTAATATTCTTTCTCAAAATAAAAATTTAAAAAGGCTAGAGATATAACTCAGTGGTAAAGCGCCCAGTAACAAAAAGAAACAAAAAACAATGTAGATAAGATCCCTGCCCTCAGGAAGCTTGCCTTTAGCTGGAAGAGACACAAGAAACAATAAAGAAGCAAATCATGTCCAGCACCCCCAGGGGAGGTTTCACTTGACACAATTTACCCTGGTGGACCACAGTCTGAAACACACTGCAGAGCCTGAGGAGTCAAGATATTCACATAGTTCATTACAAGTATTGTTGTAACTGTTCCATTTAGAAAGTGCAGAGGGTGGGGGTTAGAGGAGGCATCCTGAGAAGGGAGCTTATGAGCAGATGAAGAAGTGAGCCATGTGGCCTGTCTGGGGGCAGAGGCAACGGCTGTGCCAAGGCCCATAGGTGGCCCATGCCAGGCATGTGGTGGACTAGCAGGACCTGGTCATTGTGGCTGAGGCTAAGTGAAGGCAAAGCAACAAGGAAAAGACCAGAGTGGGTGCAGGCCAGAGACCTGTAGGGTTGTGGGTAGAGACAGGAGCGGCAGACCCCACTTCCCTTTAGGGGGTTTATGACTTGAAATCCCCATTGGTTTCCTCTGTCCTGCATCTGGTTTCCTCTGTGGGCTTCCTTTTCTCCGGCCAGCTTTTGCTGCTCTGCAGGCACCTCAGAGTGAGCCCTGGTCTTGCCCCACGGCCTGCATTCCTACATCAGCTCCGTTTGCTGAAACACGCTAGGACTTGCTCAGGGCATAGCAACGGAAGGCTGTCCAGATGTTGTCCATGCTGCTCCCATTGCTGTGCCACAGGACCTGGCTGGGACCAAGCCCGCGCCACGTCCTGGTGACCTCAAGCTGCGGGCAGACAGTAGCCCATATCTGGCTTTGCTCTGAGTCCTTGGTTGGTATTTGTTGTCCCTCAAAGCCAGGTGGAGGCTTGGGGACAAAGCCATTTGGGAGGGAAGGGGGCTGTGGGCGCTGAAGGAAGCTGCGAAGTCTGCAGGGGGGGCGGCCGCAGGGAGCCTGAAACAGAGCCACCTCTACGTCTGCTTTACCAGAGAAGTGATGCCCGGAATTAAGGATAATTATAGAAATTCAGGAAAATATTGAGCTTTACAATTTTACTATATTCCCACTAGCCAGAGAGGGGGGATGCTTCAGGGTGCCTCTGCCTTCACCCGCACCAGCCCTCGCCCTCTCCCTCACCTTCATGCGGTGTCTCTTACCTCTTCTATCTCCCTCCCACCCACATCTTGCTCACGTACTTGTGTGTACACACGTCATGACACACTCACCTGTGTTCGGCACACACCATACTCCTGCAGTCACACCACACAAGTACTTCAGGTACTCACACGGCACACACACGTGCATTGGTGTGTAAATGGCTACTCCTGCTCACTCACACATGCCTTCTCACACTCACCCCAATCACACCAGGCTCATTCACACACCCGCAGTGCCAGCTTCCTCTCCTGCTCCCGTATTCCTGAGTGTGATGGAGATACTTAGCAAGTTCTCCTGCATTCTTTGATGTTGGGCTGTCTACACTGATGTGTCTCCCTCACTGGTCCCTCATGTCCACTTGGTCCTGTCCCTTCTCCCCACACACCCACACCTCACACTCCTCTGGATGTGCCTGCACACATTCACTCTCACAGGCTGCTCCTGACTTACATACGTCCAGCCCACCAAGGGCATTTCCTCTGACACAATATGGTGGCTCCTCTTCTCCTTCACTAACCCCCTGCTCAACACACTTAAATTTCAAGGTTGGAATCCTGTGTCCTGTGCTGGCTTAGACCCGTGTTTTCCCTCAGCCATAAGTGTTACTCAGTGCCAGCCCTGCTGTCCTTGGCTACATGTGCCAACTGGCGCAGGCCTGCTCTGTCTCCTTGGGTGTTTGGGAGTAGGCAGGGATGAGCCTCCACCCAGGGGTTGGTATGGAAAGCCCACTGCTGAGCACCACAGTGGCAAAGGCCAGCCGGCCATCAAGGGGTCCCTGGGGTCCAGGCAGCACCCTGCCTCAAAAGTAGCCTGGGCTTTAGGAATGGACCCTCCCCATCACCACCTGCTACATTGGCTCCTGCTCTAGTCCCTCCCTGCCCTCTCTGACAGGAAGCTGAGCCATGAGCCTTCACATGGAGGGCAGCAGCCTATGATGGGAAGAAATTGGAGGAAGTGAATCTGGAAGTGGGGACATGATAAGGAATGTGATGAGGATTCGCTGCAGGAAGCCAAATGATAGTTGCCTAAGCACAGAGTGCGTGAATAGAACTATTTTAAATGTTTTTAAATGCTTCTCCCAAAGTGTTTAATGTTGAGCCCTCGTAAAAACAAGAGAAAGATGCCACACTCAGGATTCTATATTAAAATTTGGTACTTACATATTTTCTCATTTTCCTTTGGTAGGATGGTACTTCTTATGGAAAAATATTAACTGTGATTACATTTCAGTCTAATATAATCACCACTGAAGCAAAGGGATAGCTGGTAGGATGGCTGCAGGCATTGAGGGGTCTTGGGGCTGAGCCCCCTCTGGCAGCGTGTGGGATAGCACATGTGCATGATGGGTAGCACTGTTCTGCACCCCTGCACCTGCATGGATAAGAGGGGTGGCTCAGCCTCGGACAGGTACTGTGGCACATTATTCATAATAACAGATCCATTTGGCTTCCTGCAGAAAGTAATTTACCTCATCTGAGGTTGCAATTGACTTCAGGTGCTTCTTATTTCAACACAGAAGTGGAACTAGGAACTAAGACCTTAAGTTAACAGAAAACCTTTATTCCAAAAAGCTTAGTGTTTCCATAGATTTGTGGCTTGCTTTATTCTTGTCTTTCTTTTTCTTTTTTCTTTTTTTTTTTTTTTTTGTGTGTGTGTTTGTATAAGCTGCATCCATTGACATTCTATGGTAAAGTAGGTCAATTTAGATGAATTGAAATGCTTATATTGAAAAGTTTCTCCCCTCCTTCCCTAAAAGGAAAACATTTTTCAAGGAACTAGCATATCTCTCGTAGTAAATGCACGAGAATTGAACAGAAAGAACTATTTCATCTTCTGATTTTGCTAGCAAAGATCACCAGGCTTGGTTCAGGTCCTCATCTCAGCAATGTTAATTCCCAAGGTTCATTTATAGAAAATAATCCAAAATGAAGGAAAAAAAATGCCCCCAAGAAGTTTATTGAGGTGTGATTTGAAACAATAGCAAAAGGGAATTATAAAACCTAATGAAGAAGTGGGTCTTATGATATGAAATGACACATCAGTAAATTCAATTTAATATTTATTGAAAACTTACTATGTGTGAGTAAATATTTTTAAGATTTCTGTAAGAACTGTCTCATTTAGTCTGGACACCAGTGTAATAAGGCAATCACTGTTCTTTCCCCATATTTTTTATTGGAGCATTATAGTTGTATATAACAGTGGGATTTGTTGTTACATATTTGTTCATGCTCACAATATCAAAATACAATTTGTTCAATATCATTTCCCAGTATTTCCCTTTCCCCTCTCCTTCCCCTATCCCCTGGTCCTTCTCTGCTGATCTTCCTTTGATTTTCATGAGGTCCCAAATCCCATCGACTTTCTTTCCCTTTTTTCTCTCTAGCTTCTACATCTGAAAGAAAACATTTGACCCGTAACCTTCTTAGTTTGACTTTTTTTTTTTTTTTTTTTTTGCTTAACATTGTAGTCTCAACTGCTATCCATTTTTCTGCAAATGACAAAATTTTATTTTTCTTTATGGTTGAATAGAACTCTGTTGTGTAAATATACCAGATTTTCTTTATCCATTCATCCATAGCTGAGTAGTTTGGCTATTGTGAATTCTGCTCCTATAAACATGGGTATGCATGGATCACTATAGTTTGATGACTTTAATTCTTTAGGATAAATACTGAGGAGTGGTATAGTTGGCTCATGTGGTGGTTCCATGACTAGTCTTTTGAGGAATCTCTATACAGTTTTCCATAGTGGTTGTACTAATTTACCATCCTACCAACAGTGTAAAAATGTTTCTTTTTCTCCACATCCTCTCCAGAATTTATTATTGGTATTCTTGATGATTGCCATTCTGATTGGAGTGAGATGAAATCTCAGTATAGTTTTGCTTTGCATTTCCCTAATTGCTAATGATGAACATTTGGTTAGCCATTTGTATTTCTACTTTTGAGAAGTATCTGTTTAGGTCATTTGCCTATTTTTTAATTGGGTTATTTGGTCTTTTAGTGTTGTATTTTTTTTAGCTCTTTATGTATTCTGGATATTAATCCTCTGCCAGAGAGTAGCTATCAAAGATTTTCTCATATTCTGTAGGCTCTCTATGTCTTCTTTCCTTTGCTGTGCAGAAGCTTTTTAATTTGAGACCATCCTTTTTATTGACTCTTGGCATTATTTCCTGAGTTGTAGGGTCCTACTGAGAAGCTGTTGCTTGTGCCTGTATGTTGGAATGGGAAACATCATGTTATAAATAAGAAAATCGAGGTACAGAGAGTCTAGGTAACTTGCCTAAGGTCACATAGGTGGAAAGTCCAAGAGCTGCCTCACTCATGAGCTCATTAATATAAACCAAACACACACGTGAACTTGGGCCAGAGAGGATGCAGAGACATGGAAAATACCAGTCAGTTGGGGTGAGGGAAATTGGGACTGACTTTTAATTTAAACTTGTTGGTATTATATATAATGTTTACATGATAAATAAAAAGAAAACAAAAGGAAAAGGGAATCCATTTTGATGTAACGCAGCCAACTAGGAATTTTTGTGAGCAAACTTTAACTTTTTGTGGTTGAGAAACAAATGGTTCCACCGAGAAGGGAGCAAAGGAGCAGGTTTATATTCTAGTGTATGGTTTGTCGTCTGGACTCCCAGCTTCTGCACCATCAGGGGTTCCTGATGCCAACCTGGGTCAAGGATACAGTGTGGTGTGGTATGGTGGACAAGTCCTCAGAGGTACAGTAGCATGGATGGGCTCAAAAGACAGGTTGGAGACAGGTGGGGGTGTAGCGCAAGGGTGTGGGTGAATTACTACAAAGAAAAAAAAATGTTGGCAATGTCTGTGTTTATTGACCTGGTGCAAATGTGTCATAAATTGAATGTGTCCCTTCACTGAAGTGGCATTTTAAAATTTTTCTCTTCTAGTCTAGAGAACTGCAGACTCTTCATAACCTCCGTAAGCTCTTCGTCCAGGATCTGACCACCCGAGTGAAAAAAGTGAGTTCTATTTTTTTCCTGAATGGTTCTGAGAAGAAAATAAAAGATGGCCAGGAAGAATCATTTTCAGTTGAAATATCACTTGCTTAAATTGGGGCTGGTTGTGCTTAAAAATTAATTACTTCATGCCAGAGAATGTTATTAAAAGAATGCGCTAGAGGCAAAAATTACTTGGGAACATTTTCCCATCTGATTTTTCCTTCTTACTAAAAGGAAATCATCATGCTTTCCCTGGCCTTCATTTCAAATGAACATATATTTATTTGGCTCCTGCTGCATGAAGGCCACTGTGCTTGGTGCAGGAAAATCCAGAGTGGGCTTGGCGTCCAACAGCATTACCCTGCAACCCGGAGATGGCGAGAGCCTCCTGCTTGGATGTCAGGAGGCCTTTGGGGACTAGGTCAAAGTTTGCGACTATCTTATTTACATTCCCCAGCAATCATAAAATTGGTGCTTAGTACTCCTGTTTTTGCAGATGTGGAAATAGGCTCAGATGTTAAATAACTTGCCCAAGATTGTACCCTTGGGAAAAGCAGCATTAGGTTAGGATCCAGATCTTCGGGCTCTCTGCACCTGAGTTTCTTTGATCTCATGCTGCAAACTGATCTTGGGGAAATTCCATATTGATGACTCCCCAGGGCAGCTTGCAGAAGTTTAATGAGGAATATGAGGTGAAGACAGCCAGGGGTCACTTTCAAAATATTTAGAAGGAGGCAATGGGGAGTATTGGACCATAGCAGAAGTATGGCAGGATTGAAAGACAGTATTAAGGAGTGTGTATGTGTGTTTGTGTGTGTGTATGTGTTTGCATAAATATGTATGCATGTTTGTGCATACATATTTGTCTATATGAAGGATCAAAGGGAAAGAGGTCCAATATAGTAAAAAGAGGAGGCAGGTAATGGAACCAGGTCTGAGAGGGACAGAATTAACAACATGGATGCATATACTAGGCCTGGTAAGGAAAAGAGACTCATCTTCCTAGAGGCAGGTGTGGAGAATCAGGCTAGAAGCATTTGCAGAGAACTCTGTGACACAGTGGAAAGAACTGGAACCCCATGATTTGGATCCTCAGTTAATGTGGGAGCTCGGTTCTTGGTGGAGAAGGAGGAAAGAGAATGGGGAGTTCAAGAAGATTAGAAGGGTCAGGCAGCGGTAGAGGGCATTTGCTAGGGATAGATAAACAGGTTGCTGAGCTGTGCCAGCTGAGGGGCACAGCATGGGTGGCATACTGCCTGATAGCATAGTTGAAGCGAGTTTAGAATCTTGGAAATGCAAATACAGACAGAAGGAGAGAATGATGGGAGCTTTCAAGGCTTGATTGGTAGTGGTCAAGTAGGTAGGGGGGTGCACCATGATTATCATCAGCAAAATATGTATGCCCATGGAACCTGGGCCAGGTAGGAGAGTGAGGCCAGTGCAGAGGTGATAGACTAGAGATGGGGCAGGCATCCGGCCAGAGCTGAGGACATTCCTAGAAGTCTGTTGCAAGCTCTGACTATAGGAGGCTCTGGCCAGAGGAAGGGTTAAGAGCTTGAGATCCGACTTCGCTGACTTCATGATGAAACTCTCTAGGAATAGCCTATGGTCAAGCCTCCAGTTTTCAATGTGTGATCCTCTGGCCAGTAGTGTCAGCAGCACCTGGGAACTTGTTTAACTACACAAATTCTCAGACCCCATCCCAGATCCACAGAATCAGACTGGAGGCAGGGCCCAGCAGTCTGTTTTAACAAAGCCTCTTCCTGGGATTCTGATGCAGGCTCAAATTTGAGAACCCCTGTGATAGCCTGAAGAGATGGTCATAAAGCCATTACCCTTAGAAGAAGGACAGTGATGTCATTTATAATCACATGAAGCAGACACGCTCTATGATTTTGAAGGCTAGAATGTGTCTGCACACGCATCTCCCATTTCAACTGTGCTACTCTGTTTGCCAGGAGGGCGATGTTTTTGCCAATTTCAAGATCTGATAAATTTCAAGGATTTACCCAGCACCTAGATGCTGTGACTAAGTTTGAGACTGACTCATTGAGGAGTTGCATAGAGTTGGAAGCTGAAAGGACAGGCAGAGGCCATTGGGACTTCCTAGTGGGCATAGACATTTGCTTACAAGCTTGGTGACTTAATCCATCCCTGTGGTTGAAGCAAATTTGAGCCTTGGGTTTATGCCTTCACACTAGTTCTTAATAAGTTTTGGAACATTTTTCTTTTGAAAAGAAAAATATCTATTTCCCTACCTGAAGGGAGAGATATAGTTCCTTAAAAAAAAAAATCACCTGCAACTTTTGAAAGCAGATCGAAGGGCTTCCCCACCCCCCCAGCCTTCTAAAGAACAGCTTCTTCTCAGATCAGTCACTTCTGGTGTAAATCAAGGACATTAGTTTGGGAAGTTTGTTCAGTCAAAACTTTTAGAGCTTCTCTTTATATTTGCTTTCAGACTACTCTCAGTGGGATGGGGGTTTCTTCCTTTTAAGAAGGTTTAAAATGCATGATGCACATTATATTGGGGTGGAGGGTGGGTGGTGTGACAGACCACCTCGCTGACTGCTCGGTGTTGACACAGAGTGTAGAGCTGGACAGTGACGATGGAGGGGGCAGTGCTGCTCAGAAGCAGAAAATTTCCTTCTTGGAGAATAACCTGGAGCAGCTCACCAAGGTGCACAAGCAGGTAGGAGAGTTCCGCCAGCTCCCTCTGCTTTCCTCGCTTTTTGGAAAGCAGCCTCACCAGGCTGGCCACCGCATCATCAGAGAAGGCTCTGATGTTGAAGATAAAAGGAGAACGAGCCCACTGGAAGGTCCTTAAGAATCCTTTAGTCTTTGATGGGTTTGGTGGCCTGGGGAGGTCAGAGGATCACTTGAGCCCAGGAGTTCCAGATGAGCTGGGTACCATCAGGAGCCTCTGTCTTTAAAAAAAAAAAAAAAAAGTAGTAGTATAAAAAATCCAAAATCCTTCAGTCCTCAGTGACTTTCTTTATATATGAAAGACTTAATTTGATTGAGACCAGAATAGAGAATTGAAGGGGAGTGCCCTAGAGTTTGAGAAGCTGGGTGTTCAGAGTCCTCTTTCTTCATCCCCCTTCCACTACAACCTTGGATGCTACCTGACCTTGGAGTCTCTCATAATGCCTCTGAGGCACCTCTGTGGCCCTGAAGGCCCCAAGGAATGTCAAGTGGACCCGCTGAGCTGGTTCAGGGCTCTTATTTTTACAGCTCTGTTTCCCTGTTCCTGGTGATCTTGGGTGCCTTCTCAGATCCTTGCTGTGGCCTGGAATTTGTCCCAAGTGACAGTGATAACCAAATCCAGACACTAATAATTTAGGCAGGTCATTTGTCTCTGATCCTTTGTTTCTAAAAGCTGGCATGTCCACGACTGTTTTCCCTCCTTAGGATTTGGGATGTGATGGAAATTGTCCCACTGTTTGGGGCACATGGCTGAGCAATGTCATTTCTGACTTGTTGGGTCTTTTTCAACAAAACCTGGTGATGACAGATCAATGTGGTGAAAGTCATTCGAGCAAATTGCTGATGAGAAATATAGAAGCAGAAACCACCAGGCAACTTGAAATAGGATTCTCTGCGACTCATTATTTTATTCATGAATTCAATGAATATTGATTAAAAACCCACTCTGCCAGGCAGTGGAGCTGGTGCTGGGATAAACAAAGTTGGTCAGACCCAGCTGTAGCTCCCTTTGATTAAGCACTTTCTGACTTCTAAAACCTTTCTGCATTCACCTGGATTCCAGTGATGGCCATATTGAGTAGTTTCCTTGTTAAACCTGGTGGTCAAAGGACTTAACCAAGCTAGATGGCTGCAAATAATAGGGTTGTTACCCCCACTCTTCACCCGGTCTAGCCTGTTGCTTCTTAATTGTGGGTCTTAGGTAAGAAGAAAAGAGCAAAACCCTCCTGATTCCTGTTATTCTCTGGATCTAATGAAAAGATGGGTCCAAACCGGGTGCCGGTGGATCCTGTTGTGAAGGAGGTCCTTAGAGCGCTCTAGAACATGCATGTGTTTTGCTAAGTGCTTTTGAATGGACTAAATTTCTCAGCTCTTTCCTGCTAATATACTAGTAGTAAAATTTTTCATACTATTTCCTATCCTCGCAAACATACACTCAAGTAAAAGAGGAAGTAAATCTTGCCTAATATTTAGAGTTCTTATGGCTGGAAATGGCTTTTAATTCCCCAACCCCCACCACCGCCCCCAAATTCCTTGCAGCCCATGAATCGTATTTAACAAACTAGAATCCCAGGGCATGAGATTTTTCTTTTCCTTTGCTGCTGGCTAAGTTTACGGTCATTTGGACTATTAAAGCCTACCTAGCAGGGTGGTGGTTTCAGCCGCCAGGGCTTTTCTACCTTCTAATCTTTTTTGATTGTCCTGCCAGAGAGCAACAAAATCCTCCTAGTAACTTGTCCCCTCTCCTCCTTCCTTGCAGCTGGTCCGGGACAACGCGGACCTGCGCTGTGAGCTGCCCAAGCTGGAGAAGCGGCTGCGCGCCACCGCGGAGCGTGTCAAGGCCCTGGAGAGCGCGCTGAAAGAGGCCAAGGAGAACGCCATGCGGGACCGCAAGCGCTACCAGCAGGAGGTGGATCGCATCAAGGAGGCAGTGAGAGCCAAGAACATGGCCAGGAGAGCGCACTCGGCGCAGATTGGTGAGTGCGCGCCGAAAAGTACCCGGTGATTGGGAGCAACCGAGAACACTCATCCAGGACCCTGCTCATCTGAAAGGCTGTGATGGAGCTTGCAGGACTTGGCCCTCACAGCACCCCCAAGTGGGAATGTCGGAGCCGATCCCCAAGTCTGAGCTATTCCCGCACTTGCTGTGGTATTCAGAACTTCCCAGCTGGATCAGAAGCCAGTCTGCGCTATAGGCAAAGGTCTTTGTTTTTAAACAGAGGAATGCTCTTAGGAATTTTGGAATATATGAATATTTCTCAGAAAGGCCTGAAGGCCCCTTGTGTTCTACAGGCAGAACCAGGAAGGATCCTGTATGTGGCAGGAAGCCTTAGGGAATGCTGCCTACTTGCAAGCACAGGTTTGGAAATAACCCGGAAAGAGCCAGATTGGCATCAGTGAGCAGGGTGTGTTTAGGATCCTGCAGGGGGCCCTTTAAGACCTATATGGATTTGGGCACGTTGCCCCCGCAGGAAACGAGGGTGTAGTCTCTGAGTCATAATTGCCAGGTTAAAGCCATAGGAATAAAAGGGATTTAGGGATATTCTCTAAAGAAGGGATTTTTCTTTTTTAAAAAATTGGAACAGTTCTCCTACCGTGTAAGGTGATTTCCCATTAGATATTGCTGTGCAGATACATGTGAACGAGCAACTTCTTGTTTCTAGTTTTAAAATACCTTTGATTGGTGATTTGTTGCATTTGTTGGATTCCATATCCTTTGATAATCTACTGAAAACTATGACTCCTTTCCCCAGATAACACATCACAGATGGAATTCTGCTTCCAGTTTCAGGGCTGTGCATATCCCTATGAAATCCCTGGGGGAACCTATGGCTCTAACTTGATAAAAGTGAAAGTCCTTTGTTTCTAATTTTTGTCTTAATTTATTCAATTTTTTTTTTAATTTAAAAATAAGCTAATTGATATGTAAATTCTCTGTCTCCTGAATGATTGTCCTGGATTGGTTAACTGGACTGCTGGGGGAGCCAATTTCCCCTTTTCAGAAAGATGGTGGATGAGCATTGTAATGCTGATGAGCATTTTGACTTTTGTCCCCTGTGACCCTAGGTATCTGGGTCACAGATACACAGAAAGAACTGAGTGTCTGTTCTCTTTTTTTTTTTTTTTTTTTCCTGTTCCTTGGATATAGCTAAGCCCATCCGCCCTGGACACTACCCAGCATCATCTCCAACAGCCGTCCATGCTATCCGAGGGGGAGGAGGCAGCTCTTCAAACTCCACTCACTACCAGAAATAAATAAAGTGAGTCCTGCTATCTGGGGTGGTTTCTCTTTAGAGCAACCCTGGGGCATACTTGAAAGCACATGCATCTTGCTTTCCCAGAGCCCCAGGCCTACCATCTCAGCCACATGCAAATGGACATTTAATAGGAAAGAGTTCCACTCTGCTGCAGGATAGGCCCTGGGGTTCCAGGTGAGCAAAGGCCTGGGCCTAACCTCTCCTCAATCTAGAGCCCTGGGGTCTTCTAGTGAGCCAGCTGGGGCAGGTGACTCTGAGCCAGGCCTGGCTTAATCACTTCCATGGACAGGTGAGGTGTGGTAAGACTCACCTGAGCTGCCTTTTATCCCTGGGACTCCTCTCTGCAGATGAACATCCACAAGGACCTTACCTGTTTGTCAACTGCATTTACCCAGAGCAGACTGAAGTGGGAGGTGACTTTGAGTCTCAGGCATTGAATATGAAGGAAGAGCCACATAATATTCATCCTTCAAACCTGTCTGACCTCAAGCAGGGTTTTTTAAGAATTGTACTAATTCAATAAGTTATTTGTTGAGTGAATAAACTGGTAAATTTAACTCTACAAAATGTTTAATAATAGGCACATCAAAGTTATTTATATACAAATGACTAACTGAGGAAAACATAAATAATACATATCACAAGGAGAAAAAGGGAGGAAAGGCTACAAACTGATAATAAAAATCTGTTTTTATCAAAAGTCAATATTTCCATAATAAAAATCAATAACCCCTTAGGAAAACAGACAAAGGACATAAGAATAAAGGGAACAGAACTAGAAGTACAAGTGGCTTTTAAACTTATGAAAAGATGCTCAAAGTCTATCAAAATAAGAAAAATGGAAATCAGAGCTACACTAAACTAAGAGAAGAGAGAGGTGGCTTTAAGTCTCAGGAACTGAATTGAAAGAGCCAGATGATATTCATTCTTTTATAATTACTATCTGAGCTCATGTGAGGTTTTTAAGAATTGTGCACACTTAATCTATGTCCAGCTCTTGTAGCCAGATGCTTTCTCTCAATGTCACAGAGCAAACGTGCTGGGGAGGGCAGCGTGGTTGAGGGGGCTGGAGTTGGACAGCGGGCCCTGACTTCTCTAGTGGCACATCTTCCACTTCCTTTAAGTAACTTAACCTGAGTCTGTTTTCTCACCTGGAATGGGGAGAATCTTTTACCTGGGTGGTTGGCAGTAATAAGAGGCTTAAATGAGGTCCTGCTTGGAAGCTATATGGCACATAAAAGTGCTCAATAAAAATGTCTGTTGCTAGTGTAGATGAGCAGTGCAGAACTTGGTGCACAATAATTGGTTGATAAATGTTGGTTTATATTCTCCTTTATTAGAAATAAGAAAATCCAAAGTGTTTTTCCTGTTCTCACAACCACTCCACACTGTTGCTACCAGGCTCTCCAACATATACCAACTGGGCATCCTTTAATTCAATACAGTTCTGGCACCAACTACCTGGACATAGCATGGAACCCCATAGGTTAAAGGCTCAGTTCCACAAGACTGCCCCCCCCCACACACACAGTTGCCAATGGCAAGCTCTAGGTTGTGACCTATACTTTTGGTCAACTGGCTATAAATTGGGGTTCCCACCCCTTCTCAGGTTTAGTTAATATGCTAGAGTAGCTCACAGAACTCACAGAAACATTTTACTTACATCTGCCCATTTGTTTTAAACGGTATTAGAAAAGTTACAGATAGTTGAAATGCACTGGGCAAGGCTGGGGTGTGTGTGGAACACTCATGCCTTCAACAAGTGCACCACCCCCGAGTGCCCTGTGTAGTCAGCAATCCAGAAGAGCCCCAAACCCTTTGGGTTCTTATGGAGGCTTCATGACATGGGCATGATTGATGAAATCATTGACCACTGGTAGACAACTCCATCTGCAGTCCTTCCTCCCTGAGGACTGTCAGTTCCATCCTGCTTGATTCATGGGTGGTTTCTCTGGCAGCCAGTCCCCATTCTGAGATTAACGAGGAGCAGCCCCCACCTAGCCATCAGTTATGGGATTAGCATACAAATTTCACTGATTGATTAAGCCATTCCAAGGGTGTTAGGAGTTTAAGAACCAGGGACCTACAGGAAATATTTCTTATTTCATAGTCTTCAATTTATCTAATTGTTACAAAATAGATTTTGTATCTCTCTAGTAATATATTATAACTATTGAGTAGGGAAGGCCCATGTCTAACTGAGCATCTATTTGGTGCTATGAGCAGATATGAAGATCTATAAAAGTAATATTTATCTAAAAGCTATGAGGAACAGCATCCATTTTTAAAGAAATAACTGGGAATTTGTCAGTAGAGGTTAAAAAAGTTCTTAACCAATGGAATGGGGAATTGTAACTAGAAGTGAAGAAATGCTAAATCATTTACAAAATAATTAGAAATATGGAATTCTGTGCCTAGATGAGATCAAAACCTTTATGAGATTGTCTTTCCTGATCTTTGGGATATCTCGTTCCAAAGCCTCTGCCCTGGCAGAAAGTGACCTTGACTGCTGGCTCTTCTAGTCCTGCTGGAGCCAGAGTGTTATATTCTTACTTGGGTGGCATCTGGAGATCTTTGGGATTCCCTTCTGCTTCATCTCAGGGTTTAAGGGACATAGTCAGAACAAGGTTTCAGAGCCACTGGAGATGCCAATGTGCAAAAAGTCAAAGAATCCATGGTCATGCTGGCATTGGTCTCATCTGGTTTCAATCCAGGGGAGCTGTCCCATTGGGACGGTTATTTTCCAAGCTTCAGATCTGGACTTAGGACAGTATAGTGCAGCAAGCTAAGTCCATGGGATTTATAACTGGCTGGACCTAGATTCCAGTCCTGCCCTTGGTATGTAACTCCTGTGTGTCAATTAGGCAAGTTGCTTGGCTTCTTTCAGCCTCAGTTTCCTTGTCTGGAATCAGGCATCTAGAACATTTTCTGTGTTTGGTTTAACAGTAGAGGAGATGTAGAAGACTTTGTCCTTATTAAATCGTATACTTGCTTGGGGGACAGAAAAGAAACCAGGTAATTCAAATGGTTGTAAGTGCTCTGAAGATAATAAGAACAGATTAATGGAATAGAGTTGGGGGATACTATTTTAGAAGAAGAGGTTGAGAATTGAATGGGGAAAAATGGCAGCTAATGCAATAACCTAGGGGAAAGTAGTATGGATGGTTGGAACCATCCAGGTGAGAATCAATGAACTGTGTTTTGGAGTGATAGGGAGGGAGGTTGGTAGGGCTGGAGCCAGTGATCCTGGGAGACTATCCTAATTAGAGCTGTTGGGAAGGGATTGGGTCCCAAGGAATGAGGCCTTTGAAACCAAGGTGAGCAGTTTAGAATACAATCTAATTTTGCTGGGAAAATGGGGGGCTTTGGGTATAAGAGGAGTGGGAATTGGTTCATGATTGGGGGAGGCCACTCTGGGCTGGATTCTGGAGAAAGGGTGTGGGTTGAGAGTAAGAATAGGGGCTCACCGAGGAGGCTTCTGTAGGTGTCCACTTTGGAGGACACCTGTGGCACTGATTGAGGTAGTGGCAGCCAGGGTGAGAAGTGGTCAGAGTTGGTGCAGGTGTTAGAGCTAGATTCACTGTTAGGGCTGATGAAGGTAGAGAAGAGGAAGAGGAAGAGAGGAGGAGGAGGAAGGGAGGGAATTCATGCCCCTAGGCTTGGGCCCCAACAAGTAGGTGAATATGGTACCTTTTTAACCATGATAGGGAAATTGGGCAATGAATAGATTTTGTGGGGAAAGCTTGGTTTCCTCTGCCTCTTTGATGTCCAACTGAGCTTCCCATCCAAGTGAGTGTGTTGATAGGCAGTTGGACCCAGGACAGAGGCTAGGACTAAGAGTTGCTAAGACCTTGGGTCTGGAGAAGGTAACCCAGAGGAAGCAGGAAGGAGCAGAGAGGAGTGCAGGGAGGGGAGAGTTAGACCATCCAGGGGACTGGAAAGTGGGAGAGTTAGAGAAGGAAGTGGTATCAATAAAGGAGTCTGAGGAGAATATGAGGAGGCAGGCCCTGGTCCTAAAAGGAAAGTGGTCGGTCAGCTCTGAGTTTGAGTCAGATGATAACAGGAACTGGGTGGCAAAGCCAGATGGTAGTGACCTTGGCGGTTTCAGGGAGGGGACCTCAGGCCCAGTTAACATGGCCCAGAGAGTGGGGTGAGGAAGTAGCATCTGTGACTGTGTGCAAACACACTCCTGGAGTTTTGTTGGGAGAGCAGAGAGTTGGAGATGAGAGGTTGAGATGGGTGCCTTTTGTAAGTTGGGAGATATTATTACAGCTTACCTGTAGGTTGATGATAATGATCCAGCAGAGAGGGAAGAGTAGAAAGTGCAGGTGCAGGGAGGCGGTAGATGGGTGTGTGGAGAGGTCTGAACATTCACTGCTTATTTTCTGGTGCAAGTAAGAAGCCAGGTTATCAGCTGGGAGGGGAGGCAGGTCTGCAGGCTTGAGAAAAGGAAGGTGTGAAATGGGCCTTTCAGGTAGGGCTGAGTGCTTGTTCAAGGTCCCACACTTGATGTAGACACCCAATTAAATATTTGTCCAGCTCCCTGGTTCTGAGAGCCCTGGAGACTGGCTCCCTTTCCTGGCAAGCTTTGACAAGTCAGCGGGGACAAGTTCAAACATGTCCACCAGATGGCGCCAGGGGGGCATGCTGAAACCTTGACTGTTAGACTTTGAAGGCTGAAGAGATTCTTACTCTCTTTTTTCTTTGGTTTTTCTGTATCTAGACTATTATGTCTCAGACTTGAGTAGTTAAAAGAGTAATTTGAAGAAATAAATTCTCATCTGGGAGTGACAATGCACACCTGTAATCCCAGTGACTCGGGAAGCTGAGGCAAGAGAACAAGTTCAAAGCCACCCTCAGCAACGTAACAAGGCCCTATCTCAAAATAAAAAATAAAAAGGGCTGGAGATGTAACTCAGTAGCCAGTGCCCTTGGGTTCAGTCTTTACTACCAAAACAAATAAATACACAGTCTCCCAGAGTTTATTTAAATTATTTTATTAT